GTAACCAGAAGGAGGATTCGGGATAATAATCAGAGAGAAGCAGTGCTCAGTTTTATGCTGTATAAAGTAGGCGGTGACTGTTGACTTCCTGGAATTTTCTCACCCGAGCTCATATAAAGCACGTCCACGCCACAGTCTTCCTGTTTCTCGCGCGCGCTCCCGTCTGTCAGGCATTCTTGTCTCACGTGTTTGCTCTGTATAAAAGGGGTCTCACTGTCCTTGCTGCAACATGTCCAGTGTATCACCCGACAAACGGAGAAAGATGGAGACTGCATTGAACCAGCTGAAGAAGTTCACAGTGGTGGTGGCCGATACCGGGGATTTTAACGGTAAACCAAACTTCGCAACTGCTTTTTGCGATTGGCTCACAATTCCCACCGGCTTGTTGATTAACTTAATGTCAATGTCCTCAGACAGTAAACCAGGTTTCATATTAATACCAGAGTCATTGCAGTAGAGTTGATACGCTCTTTGTAGGCGACAGAAAACCAGCAAGCTAATCGACTCTATGCTAGCTCTGCGTCATTCATGTTTCCTTAAATATAAACCTTCTTATAATCCAATTACCTGTTGCTAACCTCGTTTAGTCTAATAATAGTTAATAATCACTGAGTTAAAGTTAGCCACGTCAAACTACAACTTGCTAACCAACACACAAAAGCTGTTTAGCGGCTTTAATGTGACAGCTGTAGTAAAAGCACCAAGTAGCTGTCGTAAAAGTACTACAGTAAAAGTAGTAGTAGCAGAGTATGCCGTATGTGTAATTTGGATTGGTTGCAATTTTAAAGGCGAATAAAGTAATACGTTATCTATTAATTGCTGTCAACTTGTGGTGTGTCACATGCTAAAGTTAAGTATGGTTTTACATTACTATATCCCACGGTTTACTGAAAAAACTATCATTGATTTGCAAAATTCTATGCCACCTTACTGAAAAATCATTGATTTGCAAAATTCTATGCCACTATTTGAAAGTGTCATTATTATGTGACGTCATCAGATTTGATTGTTGGTCGTTTAAAGGCAGCAATGTCCACTTGTACCACTATCACTCATTGTCTGAACACCAATACAAAGGGACTTAAAATATTTAAGTCCCTAATTTTCCTCCACAACTACGGTTAAAGATATGTAAGTCACTTTTGAAACTTTTATATGAAAATGTTGTTTGGCGATACTAGAACATTTCTGCTGATATATACAATGAGTACTTAGTGGCTTCTTTATCAGTGTACTTTCACTGAACATTATACTAACAGACTTTGCCCTCATTCATATCTTAAATTATTGTTTTTGTTAACTCAGGACCTCCTTTGTTACTTTTGCAACATTATTTCCCCAAGACAAACTGTTTGCCACTGGTGTATAAAACAACATGAACAAAAAACTCCAGCGGAAAAAAACATTCAAATCATCCTACTGCTGTATCTTAAACTTAAACGTGTCAAGAAGGTATAAAAAAAAATCACTCATAGTAAGCATTAAAGTTTAATGTATCAGTTGCATGTGTGGTTTTACACAGAGCAGGAAAGGCAGGGTGTTCAGTTTCTTTGACAAAGGGGCAGATATGTACTTCCTTATTAGTCCTTTATTGGTTTCATCTAGAGGTCACAAGGGACATTTCTTAATGGATTAGAATGAGGAACAGTATTGCGCAGAAACTGTATTGCATTGTGATGCACAGCAGACAGTTCCACCTGCCTGCAGACTCAGGATGACATGACAGAACTGGTTAGTGACTGTAGCAGCTGCACAGCAGAGCATGACACCTGGGAGTCTGATGTTACCAATACAAAAGCACCGTAGGTTAATAATGATACCATTTGTATTATTACTTTGTCTGCAGAATGGTGCTCTTAAATCACAGAATAACAACACATTTTTGTGTGTGTTGAAGCAGCAGTGTTTCTGTTTTGCAATTAACCAAAAAGACAGTTTAACAGTGGTGTAATCCATCCTGTTGCTTCATTTCTGTAGGGGAAAGGAATAAAACTTAAAACTACAATTATAATTAAAAATTCCAGGAAAAGCAAAAGATGACTTGTGTATTCATCTTTACTTTTTCTTTAAGAAACTACTCTAGCTTTTGTCTTTCGATAATTTTCCAAACACTGTCCCTGTTTCATTTACTTTGTAATTGACTACTGGTTAGTTCCGTTATTATTATTCTGTGACTATTTGACCTAGGGACTACTACAATTTAAGTTTTTAAGGCTTATTTAAACCAACACTATCAGATTTTTTTATCTAACAATTATATTCAACATAGCTTTTAAAGTTGTGAATTGCATTTTTCAATTTCTTCTGAACAACTCTTTATTGTCACGTGTATCTACCTATTTAACCTAATATGGAGTCCGAATTTGCTTAAAGGAGTATTTTTGTTGTTGTTGTTGTTGTTGTTGTTGTTGTCTACAGAACACAGACCTACTCTGTTCCAGGGGCAAATTGTTCTCAGTTCTTACATTTACTATGTGTACTTACTGTGTACTGTACATCCCATGAAAAAGTCGTGCCACTCATGCATTTTCAGTTAAAATCAGCAGTTCAGTCCAGTCTTTGGAATAAAATGTCAAAAACAATTAGATGATCATCAGGCTTTGTTGCTGCACAAAGTAATTATCTTCTCAGGTGACTCAATGACTTTACCTAGAAGATGTTGAACTTTAACTAAAGAAAGATGCACCTAGTATATCTAAACACTAGATGGCGCGATGTTACCTTATTAATAGCAACGTTATTTAGCATGAAGTTTTTTTCTACAAATATTTCTTCTTTTTTTTTACTATTACAGCAAAGGTCTTAGTTAAATATGACATCCTCATGGTACTGTGAAGTTGTGTGTATCATGACCCTGTTCCTGTGGGTTTTTTTTTTCCTGTGTTTAGCCATTGAGGAATACAAGCCTCAAGATGCTACAACAAACCCCTCTCTCATCCTGGCTGCTGCTAAAATGCCAGCCTACCAGAGTCTTTTGGATCAGGCTATTAAATATGGCATTGCAAATGGCGGGTAAGTGATTGTGTGTTGAAGAAAAAGTATTAATTTTGTATAATTTTTTTTTTCTTGAAATACTTTAAATTTGTATACTATTTACTTGTGTACCACATTAAAATACTATTTACTCCAAAACAATTTTCAGCTTTATATTACATTATTAATTTTGTTCACCTTAAATGTCATTTTACTGAACATGTAAAATACCAAGTTTTTATATCTCCTGTAATGTTTCAGTCTTTGAGTTTTTTCAGCTAATGCTTTATACTTGCACATGCTATGGTTGTGGGTGCTTTTATTTAAATATGATTGTAACTTTAAACCTTTTTTGTGTTGTATGAATGAAATTGTACTTTTTTCCCAGAACTGAAGAAGAGCAGGTCGCCAACACTATGGACAAACTCTTTGTGTCTTTTGGCTTAGAGATTTTAAAGAAGGTACCAGGGAGAGTCTCCACTGAGGTGGATGCCAGGTTTGTTGAAAATGGTATTCGAAATGTATAATTTATTCTAGTATTCATCTTTTCAACTTAAGGACCCCCCCCCACCCTCACCTTTATTTTAAAGTGTATTTCATGGTGGGATTTTATGGCATTGTTTTGATAACAACAGTTTGTGTAGTCAGGATGATTTTTATATTGTTATGGACTGTAACCAGCTCCAAATAATCTGGTGTCAGAACTGACCATAAACTTCAGATGGTTAACTGCAATTCTGTCTCTCTCATTAGACTGTCTTTTGATAAAGATGGAATGGTTGCTAAAGCGCTGAAGCTAATTGCTCTGTATGAAGAGGCTGGCATCGGTAAGGAACGTGTTCTCATCAAACTGTCATCTACATGGGAAGGAATCCAGGCTGGAAAGTGAGTATAAGACATTATGAAAGCAGTATCCAAACAATTGTTATGTGAGAAGATAGAGTGTATAGTTTAGGTTAGAAATAGAATGATTATGATTTCTTATCACTCAGGAATGAAGGAAATGATTTATGGCAGCTGTAATACTAGTCGTATCATGTAGCATCATAGGCTAGTATCAACTTCCAAAATCTACAAATTCAATAAAGTAATATGCAATATTTCTGACGGTATGTTCATGCTTGGATGTATTCTGCGTCAGTCTTGATGAAAAGACAAGAATAGAATGTGATTGGTAACTAAATTTGTTTGTTTGATAACAGGGAGCTGGAGGAGAAGCACGGCGTTCACTGCAACATGACCCTGCTGTTCTCCTTTGCACAGGCTGTGGCCTGCGCAGAAGCAAAAGTCACACTTATCTCTCCCTTTGTTGGACGCATTCTCGACTGGTACAAAGAGAACACTGACCGCAAAACCTATGAGGCACATGAAGATCCAGGTAATTACAGCTACCAGATAATTACCAGGTAATTACCAGAGGAGGCACTAAAGTGCAGAAAGCTCTGTTCAGTGTTTCAGTGTCAGTGACAGATGCATTTTTGTATTGCTTTGACCCTGGCAGTCTTACAAGTCAGTGGCCAAGAAGTGGTAAACAGAGATGTTATCATGGGGCTGCTTCACTGCATCTTGGTCTGGCCTCTAATTTCCCACCTTGACCTTGTATGCCACCCCCCGCCACCCCCCCCCTCAGGTGTGGTCAGTGTGACCAAGATCTACAACTACTACAAGAAGTATGGCTACAGCACAGTGGTTATGGGCGCCTCCTTCAGGAACACGGGAGAAGTCAAAGCTCTGGCAGGCTGTGACCTGCTCACCATCTCCCCTGGGCTGTTGGCTGAGCTCAGCCAGGACCACAGCACTGTCACAGAGTTGCTGAATGAAGAGAAAGGTAAACTTCTGCCATTTCAAACCTGCAAAGTATGTCATTGTGTTTGACTAGTTTAATCCTCCTCTGGTTAATTCATTCCATTCAGCTGCCAACTAAACGCGTTGGCGTTTGACAGCCTGTTGTATTAACACCTGCTTTAGTTCACAGGATTACAAGGATGCAATCAGTGTTGTACACTAGTCACCCGTGTCTCTATTTACTTTAAATTTTTTTGGTGTGTCTGTTAAAGGTTCATTTGAGAGGCAGAAAAATAGTTTCTTGTTTCTCTCTTCTTCTCCTCTTGTTTCCTGCTTATACTAAAGTATTCCTTACATTTTATTCAAATCAAATATCCAATCTTGGTCCCCTGAATTTTTAAAATCAACTCTCGTTTTTGCAGCCAAGGCTTGTGATCTGGAGAAGATCCATCTAACTGAGGGAGATTTTCGCTGGCAGCACAATGAGGACCGCATGGCTGTGGAGAAACTGTCAGACGGCATACGAAAGTTTGCAGCTGACGCCATCAAACTGGAGTCCATGATTAAAGTAATTTTATGATGAATTTTTATTTTTTGGTCAATTTCAGAAGTGTCTGAGTCACAGTTTTCTCTAATTCAATGTGTTCACTTGTTCTGCAGAGCTCTGATGCTTTACATTTCTATTCTCTTTAATTGAAGGACAAGATGTTCAGTGCGAAGAACGGCCAGTCATAGACTGAAATACACTTTCTACTGCGTTGAAAGAACACCTGATGGAGGATTTTGAATCCTGTCCTGGTCCTCAGTGACTAGGTAGAAGGTCCAAAGGTGACAGAAGGCCTTTCCTCCTCCTCAGGCACCAGCAACCTTTCCTCTCCTGGGTTGGAATTGACCAAATAGTATAAATTAATACCAAGATTGATGTGAGGTTGTTGTAATTTAGTCTTACAATAACTAGAAACAGAGCTTCCTCCTAAGAATTTTCGTTACGTCTCCTTGATCATGACCATGTGTTCTAAATGTCCGGCACCAGTGACAGATTTGTTACAGACTCTGACCAACACAAAACTGTGGCATCATTCCTTTACATGTCACATTGTTCTCTTGAATTTCCAATAAACTCTATCTTGGGTGTGCTTTCTCTTTTATCTGTTTGACTCACAATACTAATGGGAAGCATTTTGATGTCTTGTCACTTTAAGTTGTTGCTTGGTGAGTGTGACTGATACAAAAAGTCTCTGGTTGAGCCGGTTTATCCTCATTCTGCCTTTACAGATTTAGCTGAACCTTCACCTTAAACTCACATAACAGACTGATTCAGTTACTGTAAATGCCTCATGTGTAGCTGATGGTAGACACTGGACAAATGTATTGGGATAAAGTTTCACATGCGCTAAGGTAATGACTTTATACTTACATTAATAATAATGTACAGTTCATTGTCGGGTGTCACAATTCATGTAAGTCAACTTATTTAAACTTTAATTTTTTTTCCTAAACCAAAGTTAGATAAATCATGATTAAGAGTTTTTTTGTTTTTGTTTTTTTTATCCTAATCTAATTCTGCCTGGAAACAAAACTAAATTGCTGCCCCTTTCAGTAAATTGCCCTACCTATAATCTGAGAGGAATAGAGTAGAAAACAGAGTATCACTATTCCATTACTGTCAAAAATCAACAATACTTGATTAATCTCGTTTTATTAAGAAAAAATTAAGGAACTTTTTTGTTTTTTAAATGAGATAATTTCACAAGATAAAAAAATACATTAAAACAATGATTAAAGTACAACTAAAATCCATACAGTGTATAAAAAATTTTCTTTAGTATTTTTTGACCTCGACTGACATTATCATTAAGTCATTAGCTTCATTAGTGTCACCGCATGACATGAGGACAATTTGTTTAACTTAACCACAAAATGTAAACTGCACTTAAACAGTGCATGTACATTTAAGAGTCCTGAACCGCCCAGTTATTTTTAAGAAAATAAAGTGAGTGTTCACATTGTCAAATATATTCAGTAGGTTAAAAAAATAGCTTTAAATTTGTAGTGTGTTATGGTGCATTAAAACCATTTGGTGCATTTATTAGTCATCAAACTCAGCACAAAATTTTGCTTTGCTGGTTTTGGCCAAGAAAAGACTGTGGACATGTGGACAACAGATCTGCACTGTAAAAACATACCATCACATCTGTCAATCTATAATTAGCAGAAAAATAACAAAAGAAATTCCATCAAGTCTTTTACACCCCAGATCCTTCGGCCTACGTCAAATGACAGCCCTTTTTTCCACAGTGTCAGTCGTCATTGTGTATGTGACACACTCAGTGTGACTGTACAATGATAGACGTACTTTACACGTCTGTATGTTGTTGCTCAGCTTGTACTTATTAACCCCCACCTTGTCTTTTTAAGGTTCTGATGTTCCTGTGTAGATAAGGAGATAAGATGCTGCACAGGTTTAAAGTGTGCCTGATCCTGGTCCTGGCTCTGGTTTTGTTTCTGTTAAACCAGGCCTGTGAAGGTTCTTCTCTTGGGATGACTGTCCATGTTGTGCCACTCGACAGCAGTGGTGGAAACACAGTGAGCAAAAACAAATTCCTAAAATGCTGTACAGACCCATTTAAATACAAATGGTTGAACATTGTCACAAACTCTTTTGTGACAATTTTTTAATTTTCCAACCAGTGTGTTTTTTCAGCAGTTTAAGGTTAGAAGTGAAGAGTTAGAAATACCTAGTAACAATAGCAACAATGAACAAAACTAAATCTAACTGTACTTATAGAGCTGATTTGAGAGTGCAGAGTTAAACAAAGTTTTCTACAATCAATAAACAGGAAGATGATACATTTACAGTGTAGTTAGTAATAAAGTAAAAAAGTAATAAGTCTCTTTAGAAAAATAACAATTGATTGATATTACATATTATAACAACCATTACTTTCTCCTTTGCAAATATAAATATGCAAAAATCTGAATAATGTATTTCTTGGGTAATGTCTTTCACTATATTTTTGAATTTATACACAATAAACCTGTGAATTGTATGTATAGTTTAGTAATAAATGTCAAATTACAAAATACATTTAAACACAGCTCTTGGCCATGGTTAATATAAAACAAAAAGGGAAAAAAATCACTGATTGTTATTGTGTATATTGCAGTTGAGGCTTCACTGTCACTATTTACCTCTAAAATTGACTTCACTGTGCTGTTACAGCAGATGCGGCACTCATTTATTAATAACTTTTATTAATAGAAAGTTTAGAAAATAAAATAAATACTCTAAACCAATGTAAATATATATATATATATATCTATCTATATATATATATATATATATATCTATATATATATATATATATACACACACACACACACACACACGTCCTCTGTTACAGGTACGGGCTCATTTTACTGCTATCACGTCCAGTCCATGTCCAGATCTGTCTGGACTGTGCAGTGAGCAGGAGGACTGTCTCCTCCACAGTACACCCTTACCCTTCATCGGCTCCAAACCCTCACCCTGGTGTGTCCGTCAGTGGCAGGAAACTGTCCCCAGTGACTACACAGGCTCCATCAGTTTGGGGTAAAACACCTACATTTGACCACGTCTCACTTCTGTTGTTGGAGTATTTACATTCCTGTTCACCCTGATTCTTCCCTTAATGTGCAGGGTGAACACAGACATTTATGTGTCACTGAAAGCAGAACCAACAGTTAGAGGAAACAATGGGAGACTCAACCAGCCTGTGTATGTTGCCCTTCCTCCTCCGCTCAGGTAATATAGACTGACACATACATACAGTACATGTTTAAACACTGTCAAAGTCATTAAACCACACCAGGGAATGTCTGGTCTTAGGTAATTCCTTTAATGCTAATTATATTTATGTTTCTTTAAAATAATATATATATTTCTTTTACACTGTATAATTTTCTAAAATGTTAAGTTGTTTAAAAACTACACACATTTTTTAAATATAAATGTAAATTTTTTTTCCAAATATAAGCCAGTTTATAAACGCATCTTCCAAAACATTAAACTAAATCTAAGTATAATATTTATAAATATAATTTATATTTTCTAAAACTGAATTAAGTTTTACCAATGTAAATTTATTTTTTCCTTTATAAAAGTTAAACACATTTTATTTGATTCACATTTCCCGTGTTTTCTCTTTTGTTTGTTCCTCTTCTGAGGCTTACAGGAACAGCATGTTTTTCCTATTGTTGCTAACGTGTAGTTATCTCACTTTTGTGCTCTGAGATTAGGGCCCGTGTGAACTGCCCACACCACATTCACCTGTCAGTCAAGGACCTGGATGGGGACAGGGTACGATGCCGCTTTGCACAGGCACAACACAAAGAGTGTGTTGACTGCACCCAGCTTTCCTTCATTCAGCTGGATGAGGTTCGTCTTTATTCAGGACACATGTTGCTATTTAGAATTAAATTTCAAATTATGCAAGAATTTCTCTCAGTCATGTTTAATTTCCATTTAGTATATGCTGCCCCTGCCCGTGTAGTATTTTTCCTCTTTTTTTACAACATTATAATGCAGCGTCTTGGCTTAAACAGTGTATAATGATAATGGTAAGTGACAGTAAGTTAAGTATAGATAGGGAGAAGCAGCTTCCATATAAGGATTTGTACATTTCAAATCTGCAAATTCAGCAGCAATTGATCAGAATATTTTAGGCGAGACTGTAGTTATAAAGACTTAATTAGAGTTTTGTCCTGTTATAATATAATAACAGGAATTAAATCTGTAAACACTAACATACTCTTACATTATGTCTTAATCTGACACGTCATTTAGCTGACGTTCAGCTAAATGACGTGTTTTTATCTTTTAATCAGAGCTCACTGCACCTTTTCTTTATCAACTCAAACCAGTCCAGACATTTTTCTTTTTTGTTTCACTTCAGGGAAATGACTCGCATGCAAATGTTTTTTTTATGTTTTACTTCCTTGTGTTTGGAATATTATGGTATGTGTATGTACTCTATGGCTGTGACCAGAAATCTCACACATGCCAGAAAACACATAACAGCATCATGAGAATTCAAACAGAAACTTTTGGCCTGTACTTTGTTTGGAGTCATGTGTTCTGCTGGGCCTAAATTGGTATGGACTGCTTCAAAACCTGGTCTCGTGTATCCAAAAAGAGTTTATTCAAATATTTTATGCAAAGTTGCAAACGACAACTTTTATAAGTGTATTTACTTGCGAGTATATAAATAATGTTTTTGAATTGACTGAAACAAGACCTGCCTCAGAGGCTAGGATTTCCCTTGACCTTGACCTTTTTCCAGGAAAAGTGTATGTTGACATTCACTGGAGAAGCCTCAGCAGGACAGTACTCCATCTACCTGATGGCTGAGGACTGGATTCCTGGGCCTCGTATCAGCTACATGCTTGACACTTCACCACTCAGCTCTGTCCCTGTGCACCTCTCCCTCACGGGTGAGTCCTTTGTTAAAAAAAAAAAAAAGAAAAAGAGAAAGAAACGCTGCCCTTCAGTTCTCTCCTTGTAAAACTTCAACTGTCACTTTTACCAGTAGAGAATTTTATTTAGATCTGAAACCACTTGAAACAAAGTTGTTTGAAAACAGTTAAAAATAACTACAAAAAACACAATGTATCCAGGTTAAAGAAAAAAACAAACATGCTATTGAATTCTCTGGGCTGCAAATTCTTCTGCCTTAAAATTTAAGAGGTTACTGAGGATGAAAGACTTAGGATGACATGTTTTACTGATGCAAAAAAGTCAAACAGGGTCGTGGTCAGCAGCATAACTCAGCTAAGCTGTGGCATAAAAATGATTTAATGTGGTGTAAGCACCAACTGGTCAAATGTCACTAAACAAACATTGTCATAGTTGGGACAGATCCATACTGTCCACGCTGCAGTCAATACAGGGCAACGGAACATTTTTAACATTTGCACTGGTCTTATATAGCAACCAAGTGATTTGAAAAGCTTCCTCTTAATTTCCTTATATGCAGTGGAAGAGTCAGATTCAAGCTGCAGTGATGAACCTGTGGCATCAGTTGGGACACCAGAGGAGGACACTACACTGTTTGTCCTGCCATTCCAGGAGGTGGCCTTTAAAGTCTACTTTATGTCCGAGCAGGAGAGGTGTGTCCTGTACTTTATTTATTGTTATTGTTGTCATTAAAAAAAAACATATTTTAATATAATCAGTAGAGTAGGTAACTGCATCTTTATACTCTGATGGTATAAAAAGAATACAACGTGTTCATATTTACCACCAGCACAATTCTGATAAATGAAACAACACAGGTAGAAAATGTCTTAAATATGTGCAACTCGAAAGACTTTTTTTATTTAAATATACCTATATAATAATGAACCAAATATAATCTTTATACACATCAAAAACAGCTCATTCAGATGTGTCCAGTGTCACTGTGGCTGTGGGGAACTGTACTTGTACTCATGCCGTCTGTTGTAACAGTGTTTTGGAGATCCCAGTGGTTGGTCCTCCAGGGCTTTACAGAGACGGCTTCATATCCATGGGCTACTTGTCTACAATGTCCATGGCCTGGGTTCGATCAGATAACAAACTGACCCGTCTTTTGCCCATCTGTTTTGCTGCGAACACCAAAAGGTAATGACTGACGATGGATAGAACTCAGTTAGATACTTGTAAAGACTGGTTAAATATACATAGGTACATACATATTTCATACATTACTTTCAACGGAAACCATATGTAATCACAGTATGAGACTTCACCACTAGATGGTGCTGAATGTTATATAATGTGTAGAAAATGTTTTGAGAACATTTTACTAATGGGAACATTCTACTTATGGGAAGAAAAAACATGTAGAATATTAACATTTACTCGGATTTACTGTAATCCACCAGAAGTTATATCCATTTAAATATTGTTTCCAAAAAGCCATGCAACAGAGAAGCTGATTGGATGTTTCCTACAAGTGTGGGGCTTAATTTGCATTGGAAGTTGAGGATTTAGTCATTGATGGTGTTCTTAATGCTTAAAGGGCATTACAAGTTTGTATATATCCATCACACCAGGTGGTATTACATTACCACCTGGTGTGTCTAACTGCAGACTTTCAGTAAAGGAGAGATGATGAGCTTTCTTTTGTACGAAAAGTATAATTTGCTCTAGTGAGAAAGTTTAAAGTAAAGATTGATTTTTATTCTAGAAAAACTTATTGCAAAAATAATAGAAAGATTTTTTTCTCACCTGCCTAAAGAGAATGTTATTTGTCCTTTGTGTCTTAAACAGTTTGCAGTCTGAGCCACGATGTGTGTGGCTGTACCAAAGTAAGACCTTCAGTCAGTGTCATTCAGAACTTCACAAGGCTTTTGATCAGAGATACATGACTATTACAAAGTGTTTTTTCTTTTGTATGTCTTTTAGGGGAAATAAGTGCAGTACCTGCTGGAACAGGTCAGAGCAATATTTTTGTATTTAATTTGAGTTGTGTGAAAATACCGTAGCACATTTACTACTGTCTGGAATCTGTGCACGAGTTTAAAGATGTTGTAAAGACGATGGTTATCTGTTTCAGAACTGGAGTGTGGGGCCACAGAGATGACCCTCGTTCTTCCTGTTTCCTCCCTGAAAAACGTCGACCTGGATGAACTTCAGCTCAACAGCCCCACCTGTCCTGTCACCTACAACAGCACACACTTAACTGCCCACATCCCCCTGGACGGCTGTGGCACCAAGGCTGTGGTGAGATAAATCTACATTCTTTTTTTTTATTTTCTCACTTTCTGCTGCATTCAATCTACCTTCCTACATTACTCTATTGCATCACTTTTACCTTTTCTTCTGCAGTGATTTTTATGTAGATCTTTTTTCTACAGTATGTTTTACTTCTGCATTTTTTAGTTCATTTATAGAGACTTGTAAACATACAGTGACATTTTGCCAAACCATTTAAAAAAAATTTAGATGAAAATGTTGTGTTCTGTTTTCTGTGATACAGTCTTTTTTTAGTATTTAACTGAGATAATATTGCAATTAATGTAGGACTTTTATCTTCCTCAAACCTAATAGCGATTTCATGTAAACCTAACTTTTTTTAAAATCTGCCAGATAATAATTCTAGATTAGAATACATCCATACATACTATAACAGACTGCAATGAACAAGTATTAAAATACAGCCTACCATTTCAATTACATTGATTGGTACCACCTATACGTCGTTTATTTCTTCGCACTTCTTTGTATACTATACACATATTGACTTAAAACAACCAACGAAATCTTTGCTGACCTCCTGTGGATAAACCTGTTATTGTAGTATCTGACTGCAATTACGCAAAGAGTTGTATCGAAACCACACCTGGGTAATGACAGATCAGATCAATTCGAGTACTTCTTTGTGGTCAAAAATTAGCTTTATTATATAGACTTCTATAACGGCTGCCTGTTTTCTCACCCTCTTCTTTTGAACAGCATGCAGGCTCAGAACTGATTTACACCAACGTCTTGCAGAGTGTGCGTCCCTACACCATGGTCAGTCGTCAGCCTTTGTTCTTTCTCCCTGTAGCATGTCGAATACCCAGCACCCAGCTGCAAGGACTTAACTACAATGTCCAAATGCCCAAAGAGAACCAGATCTTTGGTGAGGTTGGCTTCAAACTAAAGTTTTACTTGCCAGGAAAAGGCCCCATGGCAAAATACACAGAGAGCGCCCAACTGCGTTCCATGGACAAATCTTTCCGAAGAATGAGACGAGATTTGGAATCAGTGTTATCATTAAACGACACCTTTCCAGGTGCCACTCACAGTGATGCCATTGGATCAAGGATCAACCAGCTTGACCTTCATGTCTTCTCCAACTGCACCATCAGTCGAGCTGAGCTGATAGTTAGTCAGTGTCTCAATTCTGAGACAGAGGACTTTGCAGAATCCACACCCATCCTTCAACAAGGGTCAGTAACAACTGTGTTTCCTCAGAGTACTTAGGTGTCTTTATTTTTCATAGCCCACACTCTGAATATGGTAGCTTTGTTCTACACTGTCCCTGTTGTCGTTACATTGTAATAATATCTCTCTTCTTTAAGGTGTGCATCCTCAAACAGCACATTAGAGGTTATTACACCAGACAAAAACACCAAGATTTATCGCCTTGATCTGAGTACTATGAAGACCAACATCTCAGAGGTGTGCAATGCATATATACACACAGTTAGGGATTTCAGGAGGTTTCAAATATTTCAGTCCAAAAACTCTAATGTCTCCAAGTGACCTAGGGAAAACAAACAAAAAAGGAAATACATATAGAGATTAGAGTAAAAAATATTTAACAATAGAATGTATTTCAGTTTTTAAATCTCAAGTTATTGAATAAATCTTGTTTATTGTTTTTTAAAATGCTGCAAGGACATTGTTGAATTGTTTGTTTAGGGTTTCTTACAGAAAATTAAAAAAAAATTTCCAGTTTGTGAAACTGAAATCAGTTGAGTTTAAAAACCAAAAGATTACTGTAATGAATATATCTTCTCTCTCTCTCATGTGCGCGCACACACACACATTATCACATCTGAATTATTGGCAAACTTCAATATTTATGATAACTTTGCTTTATTCTGCAGATGTACGTCCAGTGCACAGTTAATTTGTGCATCGCCAGTTTGCCTTCCCATAGTTGCCCTGATCTGTGCTCCAGCAACATTGACAGCAGAACAAGTATAGTAAACAGTGTGTTCACCAAATCCTACAAGGTCACATCAGAACCTGTCAGTCTTGTGTACACCACACCGGCACCATCAACTGCAACTTCTATTACTCAAAGAAATGGTCCCATAAAGGAGCAGGATGTACCAACGACAACAGTTGTCACAGCTTCTACCATAAAAGTTTCTGGGGGTATGAGTTTTCTCTACTTTACCCTTTTTAAATAAATATTGTTGCATTTTTGCAAATAATACATTCACCAATTCTTACTACTGTATGTAAAGGATCCAAGCTGCTCAACAGTCTGTGGTCATCAACATCTGAATATCTTCTTCATAGCAGGCCGGCCAGTCAAGCACAGACTTGTAATGTCTGCAAAGTCATGAATTCATTATTTAGGATAAAAAGATCTACCACTGCTCTTGTAAAAAAATGAAACTGGGAAAGTGTGTTGTGACTTCAGCATAAAGGAGATCTTTTAAGAATTCTAATAAAATCCTTTGCATCTTACGTACCTTCACATATATATTGCACTGTACCACCATGGCAGGAAGAAATTATGTTAGATAATACCTAGCCAACTACTGAATAAAGGTGAATATCAGCAATATGCTGATACTTTATTAGGGAAAACAATTCAGAATATTTCTACAGTTTAAGATTCTTTACTTGCTTGTTTGCAAATATTAACTCACAAAACCTTGTTTGTTTTGTTTTGTTTTGATGTATAGCATGTGTCAGAGTTTGAATTCTAATATAGAACCCTGTTGCCTTTTCTCTTACAGTTCCAAAACTGGCCTCATCTACGACAATGGCAGTGATTTTAACAACTATCAGCATCTTTCTTCATTAAAGTTTTCTGTAATGAACAGTTACACAATAAACCTGTTAAATAAAAAGGTCCTAAATTGTATTTTAAAGAGGTTTTTGTTTCTCCATTTATGCAAATTTACTTTACCTTTCATTATTTACCCTTTTCACTAGAATATAATGTAGAACCCAGACTTTATATTTTTACAGTACAATTGTAGTGGTATTTTCTGGGGCAGTGGTGGCTTAGTGGTTAAGGAAGCGGATTGGGGTCTGGAAGGCTTCAAGTTTAGTCCATAATTATAAATTATTTTTGCTTTTTTTATGAGGCTTATACAAGTGACCAATCAATGACTTAATCAAATAAACAGATGTTTGTATGTCCAGAGGGAACATTACAATTATGTAACCTAGCAGAGGATGGTTTTGATCCATCGACCGGCTTACAGGCCCAGCACATTTAAACTGCACTAATCTGCTTCTATGGATACTGTCCCTGACAAATTAATTTTGTTTTCATTTTAATTTGAAAAATTAGTTATGTACCTTGTGTTCCCTTAATGTTAACTTGTATAGATCAGTAGTACATGGCTCAGTTTTGATGGAGGCTTCTTTGACCTTGGTAGAATACATTTGTATATAACGTTAAATAAAGTATGCTAGTATGTAACACTTGTTTTTCCGAGGTGTTTTACTTTGGGGTGTTGGTACAGTATTGGAATACAAAAAAAATCACTAAAAATGATTCCATCATCTGCTGGTACTTTTGCCCTCTACTTGCAAATCCCACCGCTAGACTAAACTAACGCTGGAGAGACTGCTGCCCTCCCCTGCACTAACTTAACTTAACCACTGGCTCGGTGCCTGTACTGTATTTGTTTTCATCCTCACCCTGCTGAATGGACCAATCCACGCTGGGACTGGGAGGAACCCTGCCCGCCTTCGCGGGTAGGCACGCCTCTATGTTCTAGGGACACCGCTTCATACATACACTGTTGTTAGCGACGTAGCCACCACGGTCAATTTAATTTTTGACATTTCTATTTGAGAACACTTTTTTCGGGCTTAGTCTCCTGTCCACGGTCCGTTTAATGACCGTGTAGAGGACCCCTGCTTGGACTCCGCTGCACCGGTGCTCCAAGCTGTTGCTGGCGGCAGCTGAGTGAGGTAAGTTCCACTACTGTTAGCTCTTAGCTGCTTGTTATGCTATCTTAGCATTCAGTCAGTTGCTATTTAACACTACTGACCAAAACGGATGAGGACGTTGTGTTAATGGTACGTGTATTTTTGTGCTTGTGTGCATTTGAATATGTTTTTTATTCAGCGTGTTTGTCTCCTGGTAGGTTCGATAATTTGACCATAAGCTAGCACGGCTAATAGCTATCACGAATTAGCTCACAGGCTAATGCTTAGCATCGATCTGCCAACGTGCCTTTTGGTTCACTCATTTTTTAAAGCTTGTATTTGTTACTAAGTGTGCCTGTTTAGTTTAGGACACCCCAGCTGCTATTGAAGACAATGTGTGTGGACGCCCTTTCTTTCCAATTAGCCTTCTTGTACAACTTGACGTTAATGTGACGTTAGCTTTCGGTGAAAGCTTGTTGGCTAGTTGAGTGTTTTACTGATCAGAACTCCATGGCACTTTTATTACAACGAAGTATTGATTTGGAGTATTACGCCTACTTAAACAGTAGCGCTTCTGTATTCACTAAATGTTACCGACTTCTATAACCATTTGTTTGTCGTCCCGTGTTTAGCGAGTGTAAGCTCAGTTTTGCCCGTGTAACGAGGACTTGACAGCGGCTACAGCCGAACATAAACCCCGCATATTTTAACTGTATTCATATTCTTTCTAGCCTTTGCTATCCGTAGTCCACTTTCTTTCCAAATGATTTCGAGCGAGATCGAAAGCAAGCGTCTGCCACCGGACGGGCGACAACGGTCAGCTCATGGTGGAAATGCACAGCCATAAGCTCGGTGTTTAGCAGAGAGGGGGAGGGGAAGAGGCAGAGCTTCACGGAGAGCTAAAGAGAGAGACAGCGCCTACACACCAGGAAAACGTTGACTGGCGACTAAATTTTAGTAGTTTTGTTGCGCTGTTCGACCATTTTTGCTATTTAGGCTTTCTCAAATGTTTTCCAATTCCGTCGGATGATATTGAATAATCGATATGCGACGGAAAGATCTACGCTCTACCGTCGTCTTCTCCGAGAGAGGTGGCGCAGAGAACTGAGGCACAATGTCTGGCTCTGCGCTCAAGTCATGTAATGACGTTTGTTAAGGGAGTGTCGTTAAGTTACTGTGCTCAATACAAAACGTGGAGTGAGTTGGAAGCCACATTTGTCCTTATGGTATGGTGTCTCCTCAACAGTTGACGCCAGGGGTTGTGTGTAAATACTGTTTTAGACTCATTATCCAAACATTAAATGATTATACAGAGTATAAAATATTTTGATTCAATGTATACTGGATTTCCAAACAGTCAAAACAAGAAGTTTTAAAAAATATAAAAGTGACCCAAAATGTGTGTGCACAACAGCTGTTGGTCTTTTGCACTACCACAATTTGAGCAGCCACATTAAGCCAGCATATCACTAAGCAAATGCTAAATTTAAAATCCAATTTTTTTATCAATAAGGACCATCTGTACATACATGATAAACAGTACAAGTAAATAGTGTAATGGCACTGCCTGGTTTTGTTTTTTATCAAGACCTGTAGAACTTTTTTTGGCACAAACAAAAACTGACATATAGCCTACATCTTTGGTTACATATTTTATAACCCAAAAGCAAATTGGAATCACTAGAGTTTAGAATGCACCAGCTGTTTTTGAACTGAAGTGCAGCGCAGCTCAGGTTTGAATTGTATGTTGAATGTAATAACAATGTAACACATCTGTTTAAAAAAATGTATAGGAGAGATTGGTAATATGGGAATTATAGAAGATGTATGCGATGGAGTAGATTTAAATGTTTTATACTGAAGAACATATTTGCAGTGGAGAAGTATATTATAAACTTTAAATGCATTAAAACCATACCCATTGTGAATTTAAGGCTGTACTGTCTTGTCCAGATGCATACATTATGGAGAAAGCCAGGAGATTTTGTATTTTTTTACGACCGTTTACATATTTTAGTATTCAGTAACGCTTATTGTGTAAACATTTGAATTAAATTGAAAGGTGTTGCACACTTTTCTCACTGTTTGACAGCCTCTGAAGAGGTAATATAGGCACAGTGCTCCAACAATTATACAAGTATTGAAAACGTCACTTGTGTTTCACTGCCCAGAATTAGCTTACTTGTGTTTCACTGCCCAGAATTAGCTTACTTGTGTTTTGAGGTTGCGACATATATCAGATATATTATGCACCCCATTCACCACGTCTTGTTCATCTCATCTCTTTCATTCCCAGAGGGTCAAAAACTGGTAATCCATACAATGGAAGTATTCATTAGCCTTTTAAGTTCTGTGTAACTGCAAAGGGTACTTTAAGGGTAACAGGGATTATACCATGATCCCGGTGTTAAAGGAGCTTAGTTCACCTTGCATTACTGCAGTCTGTTTCTTTTAAATACATTAGCTTAAGCTATGTGTCAATCAGTTTAAACAATGGCAATGAACCACCTTTAACTAGCAGTTCATAGTTTTTTCTGAATAAAAAACATAACTGAAACTGTTACATTAAGTCAAACTTTATACTACTGAGCATTGGGCGGGGGCAGGTGGTGGTGTTGCGATAGTTTCCCCAACACAAGACAAGTCAATATCTTTAATATCCTAAAATTACAGTCAGTGAACTAGTCAGTAGAACTCTTTAAGGCACATAACTTAAGACAGATCTCAGCCTATAATGTGACACACACATAAGAGGTTCACCAAATTTGTTTGTGTGTGTGTTTGTTTGTATTTAGCATTCACTGAATAACTGACACATAGTTTGCATTGTAGCTCATACATTAAAGGGCAAAGTACTTCACAATAACTAGTTATTGGAATGCTTTATCGATGACCTAACTTCTAAAACTTTTTAAAAGAGTTAAATGTTAAGTCATTTATTCAAATTTTACACTTTAATCATCATCTAAACTGGCCAAGAGTGTTAATGTCAGTATCACTGTGCTTCTGGACAGTAGGTATTTTATTCTCCACCATTCCGAAAAATAACTTTGCTTAGCTTGACCAGTGCTAGTTTTTTAAGTTATAGCCTAAGTAAGCTCTGACCAAGATTCTTTGCCCTCCTTAGCCCCTTTGAGTATGTGTATACAATGAAAAGGCGTGTGGAGGATCAGGAACCAATATTTGCACCTCAGCAACAGCAACCACGCCACACCCCTGTTCAAGCTATTGCTGAGAGTTTCCAGCAACGGGCCCCTGCCAAGGCCCCTACTGTGAGAGAAACAGCCAAGGACATCATGCAGCCGTCCACAGGAATTCAGTATTCTCTCCCACAGGGATACCAGGTATGACATTAACATAATACAAAATAACCAAGTCACCATCCAGTTCTTTTTACCGACTAAAGTTTTCATCTTCCTCTGCAATATGCTAGCGTTTGACCTGTGTTTGCAGTGTTATCTTTGCAGTGGTATCTGCCAGTGTAGGGAGTGTGTGGATGAGGCAGGTAAAAAGAGGGACAGAGGCTGAGCACAGTTAAGGAGTTGGTTATAGATGGACAAAGAGAAGAGAAACAGGTGGTTTTCTGAACATAATTTTAGGGCAAGAGTAAATATAGATAGACAGATTGATTCATGAATTGATTGATATAAACAATATAGTCATTCTATAAAGTTTATAAAAAATATATCGATATACAAACTTGATTTTGCTGTTCCAGGGAGCAAGTGGACATGGACACAACGCTGTGCCACATGTTGGTCCCCATTCACATGGTCTGACGGTACAGTCCCAAGGTCCTGCTGTGGTTCAAAGTCATGTCCATCCACCCACACCCATTAGCTCTTCTCAAGGACAACAGCAATTTCAACGACTGAAGGTACATTACAAATAATTCTACCAGGTTTTAATTTAAAGCCTTTTTTCAAGTTAGTAAGTATTGATCAAATCATATGAAATCTGTGTCTACTGTTGAAGGTTGAAGATGCCTTGTCTTACCTGGATCAAGTGAAGCTTCAGTTTGGCAATCAGCCTCAAGTATATAATGATTTTCTTGATATTATGAAAGAGTTTAAGTCACAGAGGTGAGAATAAACTTTATAGACATCTTCTAATTCATCATTATTTCTTCTTTCTTCTTTAAGATTAGTAACCTAATTTTATTTCTATCATACAATGATACAGTATACCTCTTGAATTTGCCAAGTTGATAAAAGTGATTTGTTTGTTTGATTTCCACAGCATTGACACTCCTGGAGTCATCAACCGTGTGTCCCAGCTTTTTAAAGGTCACCCAGACCTCATCATGGGGTTTAACACTTTCCTGCCACCAGGATACAAGATTGAATTCCAACCCAATGACAAGGTCAACGTGACCACACCAGGTCAAATCCATTACATCACCCCTCAGGGTGTCTCTGTTCAGAGCATCTCTGCCAGCGGAACACCAAGCCAAGTTGCAAGTCATCACCAGCATCAGGCTCCGCCACAACCTGGACCTCACAGTACTCCCACCACAACCACCACGACCACCACCACTCCACCTGTACTTACTCCACCTGCTCCAAACAAAACCAGCAAGGTAGATTTTTTAAAAGCTTAAATTGCTATCAAAATTTGACCTCAAAATTTGACCTCAAATTTTGCAGAAGTTTTTTTTATAGTTTCCGAATCTCTCAACAGGCAATTCAGTCTCCAGCCCACACACCGACCAGTCAGCCAAATCCATCCATCCCATCATATGCCTCACCAAACTCACCATCTATTCAGTCGCAGACTCCAGTAAGCAGTGCGCCATCTGGTGGGCCCCCACTGCAGAACAACCAGCCAGTAGAGTTCAATAATGCCATAAACTATGTCAACAAGATCAAAAACCGCTTCCATGGTCAACCAGAAATTTACAAAGCCTTTCTAGAAATTCTACACACGTATCAGGTAATGCCGCGTCCACAAATTAAATATTATTCCAGGAATTTAGCCTACACAGTGATTTTTGGGATGATATTCAGTTTCTTTATTTTCTTTTATTTTGTTAATTATCCAGAAAGAGCAACGGAATGCTAAGGAGGCAGGTGGGAACTACACCCCACTACTGACAGAACAGGAGGTTTACACTCAGGTGGCAAGACTTTTTAAGAACCAAGAGGACCTGCTGTCGGAGTTTGGACAATTCCTCCCTGATGCAAACAGTTCAGCAGTGAGTTTTACTGAATTCACTGCTGCCTCATGTACTATCACTAAAACACTAATACTTTTGTCTGTATAGGGACCATTCTGTTTGAGATAAACATTATGTTTTTAATTTCCAGCTGCTGACAAAAGCCACACCAGATAGAGCAGAGTCGGTGCGTAATGATCATGGAGGGACAATTAAAAGACCTTTAATCAACAATAAACAGAGGCTAGGTCAGAATGGTTTGCCCATCAGAAGACCAGCTGGTGTGGGAGTTACACCACCTCTTAAGGTTTTTACCTCTTCACCTTTTTACTTAATTATGATACTCGGCTGTTTAAACCTTGTGTCTCAACCATAAAAACATAGTTGTGTAACAGTTTATTGAATTGTGTTCACTGTGACAGTTATTTATGTCTTATTCTTATGTCGTATTCTTCTTCTTCTGCAGAAAAAACCTAAAATAATGGGAAAAGATCACAGTCTGACTGAAGTCAGCAAGCACAGCACCAGCACTGAAACTATGTTCTTTGAGAAGGTCCGGACTTTACTTAGTTTTTTATTATTATTATTATTATTATTTTATTAAGATATTGCATTTAGAATGTTATGGTTTAAAAATATGGCATATTTCTTACCTTTTAAAATATTAATTTACATATTAATTTGAACAGGTGAAAAAGGCTCTTCGTAGCTCAGAGGCATATGAAAACTTTCTTAGATGCCTGCATATCTTCAACCAGGAAGTGATTTCTCGTGCAGAATTGGTTCAGTTGGTCATTCCATTTCTTGGGTGAGTTAAACTACAGTCTGTTGGATTAAGTGGTCAGCAGAGCTTAAAAACGTGGTGTATGAAATCATAATTAATTAATATATATACTTGTTGTGAGTCTGTCAGCTCAGTTATTCATTGTTTAAATGGTGTCATTTACAGAAAATTCCCAGAACTTTTTACCTGGTTTAAAAACTTCTTGGGTTACCGAGAGTTTACCCACGGGGAACCGAGTGGTGCAGAGAGTTTACCCAAAGATCGTGCAACAGAGGGCATTGCACTGGAGATTGACTACGCTTCCTGCAAAAGGCTGGGATCCAGCTACAGAGCACTGCCCAAGAGCTATCAGCAGCCAAAATGCACAGGAAGGACACCACTGTGTAGAGAGGTGACTTAATTTTGAAAAAAAAATTTGAACACACGTCATTGTATTGTTCTAATGTATGTAGTAACTTGTAAACAGTATATAGTTTTAATTATTGTGGTTAGTAATGTTAATTATATAGTTATTTTGTTGTAAACTGTAGTATTGAAGTAATTTGTTTAATAAAAATGATTATGTGGCTAATTTTGAAATTGCCATGATACCAGTAGTGAAACACTTTTTAACTTTACTGCATGTGCTAATGAGATTTCTTCAATTATGTTTTTAATGTACCTGATAATGTTGTGTATTGGTTTAGGTCCTTAATGACACATGGGTATCATTTCCATCTTGGTCTGAGGATTCTACATTTGTGAGCTCAAAGAAGACGCAGTATGAAGAGCATGTTTATAGATGTGAGGATGAGCGCTTTGAGGTAAGCCTAAATGTAACTGCACATTGAGACCTGCAGCATGTCTTACCAGACATGCTGCAGGTCACCAGACACCAGCTTGTCACCTTAGCCAAAAATTCAGAGATATTGGTATAACTTAATGTATGCATTCTAATTTATAATGTGGCAAGTTACCTAAATGAACACCAGAAGCAAAAACTGCATTATTGAAAAAAAAAAACACTACGAAAAAAGGATGATAGAAAATTCCACTGCACTACTTTAAACTTGTTAGCAGGGCGGAGCTGTAGGGTTTGTGAAGAAATATGAGATGTTTTAAAACTCAATTTGCTTGGTTTAAGTTTTACAACCAAAATTGGGAGCTCAAATGTTTGCCAAGCCTCACTAAACCTTGGATAGATGCACCCACTGTTTTCGATGCTGTCACAAAAGTTCTGCTCTCACATAGCAGGGCCTGTTAAATAGGTCAATAGAAAAGACTTTTCTGTTGAGAAAGCTGAACTGTAATATTGTATCTTGGAAGATAAATGCAGATTTGCCTTCCAGTATAATTCAGAACACTGTTTGTGCCTCTATTTTAGAGCTTTACACCCATAATATCTCATTTTTTTGTCTCATTCAGCTGGATGTTGTATTGGAGACCAACCTTGCCACAATACGAGCCCTGGAGAGTGTGCAGAGGAAACTATCACGAATGTCAGCCGAGGAGCAGCTTCGTTTCAAGATGGACAACACAATGGGTGGCACCTCAGAGGTCATTCACCGCAAAGCCATTCAGAGGATATATGGAGACAAGGCCCATGACATCATTGATGGGCTGAAAAGGAACCCAGCTGTGTGTGTTCCCATCGTACTGAAAAGGTTAGCAGTCTAAGTTTGGTTTGGCTATTTGTATTTTTAGCTGTGTCAGATTTATGACTTAACAGCATTTTATATTTCAAGATTTATGCTTTTGCCAATAATGGATGAAAACATACTTTTTATAGATTAAAAATGAAGGAGGAAGAGTGGAGAGAAGCACAGAGAGGCTTCAATAAGATCTGGCGGGAGCAGAACGAGAAGTATTACCTGAAGTCACTCGACCACCAGGGCATTAACTTCAAACAGAACGACACCAAAGTACTGCGTTCAAAGACCTTAATCAACGAAATTGAGCTGCTTTATGATGATGTAAGTTTATATGTTGATGTAACCACTGTTAGCAGTTTGAATTTTTTTTTTATTATTATTTTGAAAATGAGTCTTAGTCCTGTTGTAAATATATAAATATCTCAGTTCTGATTTAGTCAATATAACTGTTGTTTTCCATTAGAAATAAACACGAAATTTAAAATGTTTCACACATGACTAGCTGCCTGTAGGTTGATGTCTTTGTACAATGCAATGACTCAAGTATATGTTCTTGTAGCGACAGGAGCGAGCATCTGAGGAGACGACCACAGGGCCACCTAGTGGTCCACACATGACCCTGTCCTATGATGACAGTCAGATCCTAGAAGATGCTGCTGCTCTCATTATCCACCATGTCAAAAGACAAGTAGGAATCACAAAAGAAGACAAGTACAAGATCAAACAGATTATTCACCACTTCATTCCTGACCTGCTGTTTGCACGGAGAGGTGAACTGTCAGATTTAGAGGATGAGGAAGAGGAGGAGGAAGAAGAAGAAGGCATGGAGATTGACAGCGGCAGCCCCAAAAAGCACAATGGCCTGTTGGGAGGAAGCACATCGAAGTCAAAGCTCCTCTTTGGCAACACAGCAGCTCAAAAACTGCGTGGCACCGATGAGGCCTACAGCCTGTTTTTTGTAAACAACTATTGGTATGTTTTCCTTCGTCTTCACCACATCCTCTGCTCCCGTCTGCTGCGAATCTATGAACAAGCTGAGAAGCAGATTGAGGAGGACACTCGTGAGCGAGAGTGGGAAAAAGATGTTTTAGGGCTGAAAAGGGAGAAAAATGAAAATCCAGCAATTCAACTAAAAATGAAAGAGCCAAGTAAGTGAGATTAAAAGCATGGTTTAATTTTTTTAAATTCTCTGACACATTTAGTATTTCACACTTGAAATCTTTTTGCTTTTTAAGTTGACAAACTCTTGTTTTCCTGCAGTGGATATTGATGTGGAGGACTACTACTCAGTGTTTTTGGAAATGGTGCGAAACCTTCTGGATGGAAACATGGAGCCTGCCCAGTACGAGGACTCCCTGAGGGAAATGTTTACTATCCATGCCTACATTGGCTTCACCATGGATAAACTAATCCAGAGTATTGTCAGACAGGTCAGCATGATATCATTTCATTCATCCAGATGGATGATCTTGCCTTAAGATTTACTTTCTAGGATAAATATTAAAGCTTTGACTTTATTTATCATGATGTTACATAAAGAAACTAAATTAAATTAAGATTTAATGTTGAGTGCTTTATCTTTTGAACCTAAATAGCTGGTGGTCAAGCTTAAATTACAGTTACTAAGGTGCTGCAATGATTGTAAGAGTGAATAACTTTGAGTTAATAATAAATAAAAGTAATAATTTAGTAAGTTACGTAATTGTCTTAAGTTTCTAAAGTTCATCTTGACATTTTTATGTAACATGTCATGTCCAATAATTAAATGTGTTTGAGGATTTTTCTTGTGATTTAGCTTTTAAATTTTGATTCAAATCGACACCTCACAAATGAAAGCTAATCTATTGCTTCTACAGCTGCAACATCTCGTCACTGAAGATGTTTGCGCACGGGTCATTGATATGTACTTGAGTGAAAGTGCCAACAAAGCCACAGGGGGTGCACTGTCTACCCAGACATCCAGGTCCACAGCAGAGGGCGTCTACCAACGTAAGATGGAGCAGCTGATGTCGGAGGAGAACTGCTTTAAGGTACATCTAATTTAAAGTAGCAGCCATATTTGAATGAAATGACTGATATATATAATTCCACATTTAAGAATAACTTATAGATTACACGACTTTGTACAATTAATTGTACTGATGTGTTTCATCTAGTTGATGTTTATGAAGAGCCAAGGATTTGTCAGTTTGGCCATTGAGCTGATGGACACAGAAGAAGAGAACTCTGATGAGCCAGCAGATGCAGAGGTAACTCTATCACACAAACATTACTTAATAAATAAATGGTTAAATTCTTGTAAAATAAATGTTGCGACTTACATTACATGTTTTTTTTTTCTTCCAAACACTTGACATATGCTTCGTCACATAAAAAGTAACGCAACACAATTATTACATTTTCTGGACCATTTTATACAGAAAAATATCCAGACCTGATTTGTATAATATCAACAGCTGTGTCAAATCACTTCCATGGGTCTAATTCTCTTTATCCATTTTGTTTCTCTGTCTTCACAGAGGTGGTCAGACTACGTAACTAGATACCTGAACTCAGACTCAGCGTCGCCAGAGCTGCGTGAACATTTGGCCCAGAAGCCGGTGTTCCTCCCCAGGTGAGGCTCCAGCCATGTCCCCCCTCCTCGCTTCACGTATAAAGCTTCATTCCTGAGGCACCGTTCGGTTAAGCGGCTGCTTCACTGTTGCTCAGCCGAATTTCGTGCCAAATACAGCTGATTTGTACAGGTAGAAACAGTGGTCCTTCTACACAGACCCAACCTAGGAATCTCTGTCTCCAACCAAGTGCTTAAAGTGCTTGCTGTGTCTGGATAATTCCATCTCGTATGTTAGGTATTTTGGTGGCGCTGCCGCTCTTAGAAGATCGCACTTTATATGGCCACCTTTTTTAAGGAAAAAAAAATAAGAAATTTCTATATTTGTGGATTTGGTTCATTTTAAATGCAAGTTTTATTTATTATTGGAGAGTTTTTCTTTTTAAAATAACGTACCTAGTCACTAAGAGCAAAGATTTGGATTCATTGTTCACATTGTGTTGAAGTGAAATGGTTTGATTTGCATTGTGTAAAAAGGAGAAAAGTCAAAAAAGTGCACAGTTTAAGAGCAAAACAAGTGGGTTGCGCCTTTTGTCATATTTATTTTAACTACTATAATATTTGTGACCTAAGTTTGAGACACTGAAGCTTTTCTTATAAAAAAAACCTTTCAGAGACAACGATAACATTATGACCCTTTGTTTGTAATTCTATTCAGATCATTATGATTCAGGTTCTGTACGTGTCTCCATCACTGTTTGCAAAAATGTATATGTTGAACTGTGCATTTATTTAAGTCTGTTATTATGTTGTGATAACTTTGAGTGGAAACGGTGCTCTCAACTTTTTGTTGTGGGTGAGATTTTCCCACTGAGCTCGGTGCTCACATGTCTTTTTTTTAACTCTGGTCAAGCACATTATCTGCAACACTTGTACAGAGGAGTAGGGTTTGTAAATAAAATGATGGTTTCAATTGTGTGTTTCACATGTTGGTGTATTTATTTCCCGGCACTTCAGAGCTGTGCATGGAGGCATGTTTGTGTCTGCTCTGTCTGAAACTCCAGATGAGTGTTGCACATAAAAACTGTCATTGTTGTTAATACCTTATGAATTTTTTTTAGTTTCTTTGAGATGGCTGTCCATTATCATACACATTTCAAAAAGCTTTGAATAATCGTTCACGTTTTTCTCCAATAACCCACTGAATAAATCTGGTACTTGACTGAGATTTATCACTGGGCTCCTCCACACCCAATTTATATATCATTTTATTTATTTCTGTGGTTTTCATCAAATGTCGGAGGGGGCACAGTATTAAAAGCTTCACTGACTCGTCCTTTACTAATGGCAGTGAAGTTCTGGTAGTTTGGTTTCTAGTTGTGCTGGATCTTCATCTCATGATCATAACATTCTGTTGATGAAAGTATGTTCACGTCCAAGTATTTCAGCTCATATACCGTATTTACATATCTATGATGTTTCTTTTACTTGTAATTGGCCTCGCTGTCGTGTCTTTTATGTGGAGCCCTGAATGCAAAAATAAGCTTCGCTCACCTTTAACCTCTATGGTAAGTACACATTTAAGACTTTCATTCAGGTGGGGTGAATAATTACACTTTGAATACTTGCACAAATTTGTGATTAATCTCTAATCCAAAGAAGTATTGATACCCAAACATTTTCTAATGAAACTACAGTATGGCGGTGCACGGTGCAGAAACATCCAACTGCTGCCTCTACTGCTCTCATAGACTGACAATTCCCCACAAATGAAATGATCCTATAATTCTGTTACTGGTGAGTTGCAATGCATGGGCTTAAAGTAATTCAAGGGACAGTCCTCTCAAATTTGTCAATGCTTTTTCTTAAAATTTACTGTAATGTCATGTATATTGTGCCTGACCACTACCTTTTTGTCCTGAAATTTCACATTGCAAACAGTTTTTTCCATATTCTAGAAACTGCAACTTTTCTCTGTAAACCTGACCTTTAAATGAGTTGAAACAATCAGAAGTGAAGCCCTGGCTTCACTTAGTGTCATTTATGGTCTTTCAATCTCGTTTTTCCAGGAATTTAAGACGGATAAGAAAGTGCCAGAGGGGATGGGAGCGAATGCAGCAGGAACAAATGAGCAAGAGCTCCTCGGACAAGATGCAGGACTCCAACAGTGAACTGAAGATGGAGTGTATGTTCAAGCTGAACTCCTACAAGATGGTCTATGTCTGCAAGTCTGAGGACTACATGTACAGACACACAGCACTGACACGTGCACATCAGGTAAACACTTCCTATAATCACCTTATCTCACCTTCACTCTTTTGCCAAAGTCGACTGAACACAGAAAGCTCAAATTCAATGTTTCGTTTATTTATTTATTGTCCACACATTAAAAATTATGGTTTCAGTCAGCAGATTCCGTCTGTAGTCAATTTGTAAATTCCAATCCCATTTATGCAAGAACAAATGATGGAGCACAGTGGGCCATCGCACATGTTGGTGCTGTGACATTAAAGAAGAAATCACCAGGACATGTAACCAAGTTATGTTGCTGTTTTTCTGCATGTTGTAACTTGGCTGAACAATCAAATTTTTGTGTGTTTCAGTCCCACCAGCGGGTGAACACACGCCTGCACAGACGCTTCCAGGTCAGGCTGGACACATGGGCCAAAGAGCATGTGACCAGTGACATGGCTACTAACTGCCACAAGTGGCTGATTGGAGACAAACAGGAGAGCCTGAAGGCCTGCACCACCACGTGCAACCAGGAGGTTCTACATTATCTGAATGTAAACAAGTACAGGGTGAAGTACCGAACACTGTAGCCTGATCTAAGGACAGACTGTTTTCACAGCAGATTGCTGGTGACTTTATCACATACTGTAGCTTCTTCACATTATTTTTCCTCTGCCCATTCTTGATTTAGTTGCCAAATATTTCATGTCGTCCACCCATCCTTTCAATAGACTTTTCTACTTGGTTAAATGACATCATGTTGGAAAAGAGTAAGGAGTTTTCAATTCTGAGTTTATCGAAGTTTTGTCTCTTTTTGTTAAACAGTGTAAACACAAAATCTTTTTACATAAAAGTTTGGCACAGAAAACAATCACAGCTCAACATTTAGAAGTACACTTTTCTTTGTTACTTTTAAAGGCAGCCTCAATATTTCACAGGAAGCCAAAAAAAAAAAAATCAGCCTCAGTTTGTCTCTCTCTGGTAGCATCAAGAATTCCCAGTTACCTCGGTGGAAAATGTATTTACGCTAAGCTTTGTGTGAATACTTGTAAAATTCTGTGAATGTTCTCTTTGTGAAGCAGCTGCACTGCACTGGACCATCTCTGGACTTCACAGTGTGTATAACCAGTATAATTTATAACTGCCCAGGTGTTTTTGTGTAAATATGATGTTTATATCTAATTTTTTAAAAGGAATCTAATGTCATTTAGGTGAAGCATACATTTATATGTGCATAGTATTAACCTTTAGCTGGAGAATGTAGAGAAGGTCATTAAGTAAATGCTGAATTCTTTTTAACCAAAGGATGTTTTTAAGAGACATTTTTCTTTCTTTGGGGTCCTGTGAACTTGTTTTCCTTTTGTAGTAAAAAAAAAGGGTTTTATTTTTGCCAGTTTTGAAGCAAATGACTGGAGTTGATGTGTGGACAGTTGAAAGATTAACAAAAACGAGCAATAATTTCTTTAGTGGTCGTTTAGTAAAGCTATGGGTTTTTGTTTCTGGCTAAAATATGATTTCAGTATTCACTAAAGTGACAGATGGAAATTCAGAGTTAATTCATCATCAATGAGTCCATACAGTTGTTATAATTTAGTTAAAAACTGAAGCGTAGATATGTGTCACACACTGATGTGTACTGACATCTTGACCCTAATGGCAGTGTGTTGTTTGTTTTTAACAAATTGAGGTTCATCAAAGACTCCACACCAAGAGTTCTTTGTCCTTCAAAAGTCACTGTACAGAAACTGGTCAGAAACCCAACCAGCTGTGGACAATCTTGGAACACTTTTATTTTTATAACTGTGCTGTGTGTGTGTTATGGAACTTACCAGAAAGACAGTGAGGTTTGTACCTCCATCCAGTGTGTCATCCTATTTTCTCTTGCTTTTATGATGTTGTACCTGGCCGTTAGTTTGGTGTTTTGCATTAAACTATTATCTGTATAGAGAGTTTTAAGTTCTAAGTCGTTTGTATTACTCGTGTTGTGTAAGTAAGCTGGGGCTGTAACAATACAAGTGCACACATGTATCCAAGCACATTTTTGACATTTTTGGAATGTGTTGAGGGTAACCATGGTAATGTAGAGCAAAGTCAGAATCCAGCTTTTCCCAGAACACAACTGTGAAGGAATCTAACCACTGTTCCCAGTCATTCAACTACAGTATCAGTGTGGAAAGGTATTTGAAAAGTACAAGAAAAAAGTGCAAAAGCAACTCCTCATCCATGAGAGACATCCAGCTGCACTTCAGATTTTATTTCTAATATTTTGTGTTTTAGATCCTCAGTATTTGTATTTTTTGTACCAAAAATGTACCAGTCAATGCTGAGGTATCTTCCGAACTTATACACTGTTGACATTTTATCCACTAACTTTGAGAAGTCCTTCTCTCTGTAGACAATTTGCCCTAAAATGACAGAAAGTTGCTGTTAATGATTTTGATAAAATGCTCGCTTTTGTGTATTTTTTCCATGACATGTCTGGTATATAAACAATTGGGAGTATTACTAATAGTTTAATGTGCATATATTTTCCTGTAGCCATATACCATAATAGAATAACCTTGTTTATGTAAGTGTTATTCTTTTTCACCTTTTCACTTCATAGTTTCTGTGTACTGAAGGTGACTGTGTTTTTCTCACATGTCTGTACTTCAAATACAGACATGAAACTACTAGATGTTACTTAATCAGTGTTGGAATGTTTGTCTGTCCGGATGCTGCTCTTGACCTTTATTTTCTCATTGTACTTTTCACACAAACAATAAGGGCGTTTCAGAATTAAAAGTATTTAGAAGTAGAAAGTACTACTGGGAGGATATGATGCAGACTATGTATTAACGACAGCCTAGTGAGCAGTTGTAGTGAGTAGTCTGATCAGTTTGGCTCAATAATGTCATTGATGATGGTCATGAGTTCACTCTGTACTGTACACATCTATGTCCTCAGTGTGAAAAGGACTCAACGAGCAAATGTCATTGACCTGAGCAGGAGCAAATGAAGACAAAGCAGGAATACCCGGCTGAAAGTGTCTTTAATGAAGGTGCACGATGCTAAAAACGTCAAAACTGATTATCAACAATTTGAGATTTTTCTTTTCCACAGTCACAGTTGAGAGATGGAATCATATCTCTGCGGATGTGTGTCTTCTACACACGCACGTAGATCCTTGTGCAAACCACGTCGTCGGCTCCGAAGATCTGAAAATAAGATGGATAACATCTGTGAGAAAGGTGAACTGCATAAACCTTAAAAAATTTCAATATGATTTCCTTAAGACTGGCACTGTTTTTGAGATCCATTCTATTTAACCTCTGTATCTACCACTACACTGCCTAGTTTCAAAAGACCATATTCCTATTCCTAAAAATGGCATTGAAAAGCTATTTTGTTGTGCCGTCTAGGGACTGCAGGGTGCCTGGACGGGGCATGTGTTTCCTGATGTAAAGGTGATTTATTGGCTTGTCCCCAGAGGCGTTGTATCATGAGCCACTGCATCTCCACTCATCATCCTTATGTGTGGCCGTGCAGTGGCCTGACATAATGGACCAGAGAGGCTCCATCTGCCATGTGGTGTGATGCCCAGGGAGACATTAAGTGGAGGAAACATTTGGGTTCAGTGTCATTTCTGAATGAAATGATCAATGAGTTCAATTAGATCCAGCGGAGCAGACAGAGAACTGGACCGTTGACCAGCTGAGGCAGGTTTTTGTTCTTCTTAAATGCATATTAGGTTGAAATGTAGATGGTGATTCTGTACAGGACAAGTATAAATGCAACTTGTCATTCTGAAGCACCTTCTTTTATTCATTGTTCACCACTTTATATGTACGATCTATGGTTGTCAGAGTAAATGTGCTGGGTCCATTTAACTTCACATCCATCTTTTAGTCCTTCCCTCTCTCTCCTCACCCTGAGAATCACATCTGCTGGCTACAGCTTTAATTGGAGGGGGCCAGGGGGGTCAATTTACACAGTGTATCCACCAATCTCTACACAGGGTTTCTCAATTGGTGGATCTGGACCCAAAAGTTGGTCCTTGGCTTTTGCTACTGTTTTCCTAAATGTGGTCTTTAATTTGTTCAGATTGCTTCACTACCACAGAGACGAGCAATCATTCCACTTGATCTATGTTTTCACAGACTCTAAAATGTTTGGTGCTGAGGACTACCAACATTCCACCACATCTTGCATCACAGACAGCAGGTCAGCTGTTTGTGGTCCACCGTGGGAGGTGGAGGTGCACTGGTCTGGTGAGTTTATATGTACTTCTGTTTTTCTGCACATACCCCAATCAAAAATATGCTTTTTGGAAAAAAGTTTTCTTAATTAACCATAGGTAAGTGTGCACTTATCAAAAACCATGGGTGGACTTTTTATTCTTAGAGTTGATCTTAGACATGGTGTAATTCTACCACTAGAGGGTGCCAAATCCTACATTATATATTTTACAGGAAAAATACGTAGATGGTCAGAAACGTAGTAGAATGAAATGATAAAGCTAGTAAGCAAGTGTATTCCTGTAGGAAGGACTTTGGTTCAAATAATAAAATATCTAAAATTAGTTTTGTACAACAGAAATAAAATACTTTAAGGTACTTAAATTTGATTTGTATTTGATTTAAAAAATAAATACACATTTAAATGTAAAATTGCTCAAGCTTGGTTTTTATCAACACAACTATTTGCGTCAACATATAACATATAACTTAAATAAAGAGTTTAATTAATGGACTTGAAAATGCTTTGATGAGCTGAGTCAATGTGTGTGACCACTGTGATGTTGATTGGTGTCATTAGAAGTCTTTTTAGTACAGTATGGTAACATGTTTGTCTGAACCACAGTATGTTCATTGTTCCTTAGCAACATCGCCCACATGTCTGTTGCCTGAATTGTGGGTTCAGTCACTGATCTCCATCAATCCTCTGTTGCCAGAATTGTGTAGTTTGTACAACTTCAGACCTAAAGTTCTTCACTCACAGCAGCCTGTATACACAATCTGTGTAATTTATTATTTTGGTCCTAACATGAAAATATTTGATAATATTATTCCAGATTGGAATATATTTCTCTGGACTCTGCCTTCACAGGAATTACATTAAAACTGGTGATGTTATCTTTGAAACATTATGTGTTTTTCTTTCCAAATCCCACATGCTGCTCAGATTACCAGCCTATCTCTCCACGCTCATGCACACCCTTATCTTGAATAAAAACAGATTTGGTTCAAGCCAAAGCTTTGTTCGCTGTTTGAAAACCAATACACAGTCCAAATTACGACCCCTCTGAAATATTTTCCTGATTGCCTGTGCCGAGATTAGTCACCGTCAGTAAAGAAAAGTTCATCATCAAAGTCGCCCTGGACTCTGCTGTGTTGTCCATCTGGCCAATAAATCCACGAATGTTAAATCCCAGATGTTTACAGGAAAACGTTCTCTGTCTCCTGAGCTGCCAGGAACTGGAGACCAAAGTGTCTCTGACAGATGCAAGTTGATGAAAGCGTGTGTGTGGTATGTGATGTCTGAGAACAAACGTATGTCAGTGAGACTGAGAATAATATTGTTCTCTTTGAAATCTCTATTGTGGTCCATCTTTCAAAGGGATGGGCGAAGGAAGACATTAGAAGCAGACCCTTAACTTTTGTGTCAACCTCTTCATTCTACGTGTGGATCATCATCATCCACTGACCATCTCTGGAATCTTCTGCTGTGTTTATCCACACCCTCAAATATTAGAAAGGGAAATTAACAGTCATGAACATTAGTTCATAACATTAACACCAAGCCTTCTGTGTGAGTGTTGTGACCAGATCATTAACATCTTCACATCTGTTGTCACCACCCAGTTACAGCCTCTCAGACCATCTGGATAGTTTTTACTTTCTTCCACGTCCTGGATTCTCTGTGCTTGACCATCCCTGCAAAACAGCCTTCTTGTTGACAGTTGAATGACTGACTTCGCCCATAAGTTTGCAACAAAACTGAAAGATTCATTTTCTCTGTTGAGATTAAGACTCAACAGAGAAAACTAGTCTTTTAATTGAAGAGTTTTCATACAATTAGTACTCGTATCTAAAATAGTCTCACTTCTCCTTTAAAAAAAGCTTAAATATGCTATTTTACATGATGTAAACAGCTATGGCTGTTTTAAAGCAAAAGTTACTGCCCAAACATTGACGGGGTTTGCGGGTTTTGGAACTCACTCCACATTTTTGGAAGTCTGTGGATAATTATGTTCAGTTGTTACTTGATTTATAACGTTAATGGTCATTTTTTTAAAAGACAGATGGTATTTATCGGCCGTTAAAGGGATTCCTGAATAGAACCAGAAAGATATAAACATTGTCCCAGATTTTGATGGGAACCAATTTCTTGGGCTTTTGTAATTTGGAATTCCAGTTGGAGGAGCCTCGATGATAAAGTACAACAGCAGAAGGTACGTACTGTATGAGTGGATGATGTTTGAAAAAACGCAGTAGAAGAAGACTAATAACATCCTCATCTCTGTCTTTAACAGAAGCTGTGGCCTGTGGTGTTTTTACAATATCCAGACAAGTGCCTGTGTAAAAATACAAGTACACAGGAAGAAAACTACAATAGATGGTGAGTACTTTTTACTTTTACTGTACATCTGTCTGCCATTAAGACTACAATAGTCAAAATACATGTAAGTTGGATGACCTAAATTGTATCTATTAAAAGGAACGTCTCCAGGCGGCATCTTGAACGACCAATTATTGTCCATTTAACCTAAACCTAAAAGTCTGAGGACTGTGGGAGAAAACCAGGAAACTATAAAAAAGACCATCTGTTACCACTAGGGTTGAACCAGTGATCTTGTTACTGTAAGGCAAGAGCACTAACCACTCCTCTACCATGTGGTTCCCACATGTTGTCCCTGTAGGATGAAAGCCAATCATATTTTGCGACATTCTTGATGAAAACAGGAAGACAAATGACACAAACATCAGGTTCTGTGTTAGCGGTGAAGTGACTCAGATCTGGAGCTCATTAAGTTTTCAGTACTTTTTCATGTAAGTGTGAAACACATTCACACCAGTGGAAACCTCATTTGAATCCAGGTTCACACAAGTTTGAACAGGTTTCATTTTGATTAGTGAGCTGCGTTTTTATTTGATATTTTATGAAAAAGGGGGAACAAATATCTGTCTGTCTGTTTGTTTCCAAACCTTTGTTGCTGTCAGTTGGATTTCATTAGTGTTGCACGGAGCTGTGCTTTGCTGCTGCTGTCATTTTCTATCTACTCTACGCAGACGAGAGACTTTTATCCTTTCAACTTTTCCAACAGTGTGAGTTCAGTGCATTCCTTAAAAGTCTTTTCTGTGTCCATCACTCTTGGGTCAGGCTTCACTGAGGAGCGTGAGCTAACGTTGAGAACTGTCACCTTAGTTTATCCCTCACTGATTTCTTAGTGGTCAAATTCAAACCAGTAACACATGTGGCTGGAGATGCCAATCACCTGCTGCTGCACTTCCTCCAGGGTCTTTACAGCAGCTCCAAACATCTGTGGCTTGTTCTGGGCAGCCATTGAATGTGTCTTCTCTAAGCCAATGGTATTAAATCAATTCTGCTTTTGACTCTCTCTCACCTGTGGTGTTGAGTGTCATGTCATAGACTGTAATTTGCAACACTACCCACCAGGACGAGTTCATCCCCTCTGAGTTCTCGGCTCCAAAAGGTCTTTGGGCCGTTCCCGCTCACCAGAGTCTGTTTGCAGTAAATCTTGTTTTCTGTTTCCCAAGTGGCCAAGCTCTGTGGAGAAGCAGCACTTTAATGACGTTCCCTGTTTTTTTTTCCTGCATTTTCTAACAGGACAGTGACAGTAAAAATGGTTTCTGACTGTTTATCTTTGGGTTTTTACTGAACGTTCAGCAGTATTTCAACTTAAAAGGTCAAAGGTTGTTCTTTTTTTTTTCAAATATTATTTTAATCTTGTTTTGCCCTATATATATTTTTAAAGTATATGCATGTGAATTTACCTTACACTTTCTACCGTCCACCGTCTCCTCATTGAACTCCTCGCCGATATGGAAGTAGATCTCAGTGGTGCGGACCGTGGTGGAGGTCTTGATGTAAAAGTGCTCATCGTTCTGTTTGATTTCCACATGAGGTTTGGATGCAGCGGCCCCAGCTATCTTCCTTAACATGGGGTTCACACCTGACAGACAGAGATAAACAAAATGAAAATAAAAGGGGAAATAAAGAGAATCAGAATTAGAATTAGAAAAAAAAACTCGTGTAAACTCTAAAATTCTAGTCCATGTTTTCATTTCCACTTTTTTTCATTAACCACTATGTTTTCATTTTTCATTAGTACACACATGTCCTAATAATTTACAACGTCAGCTAATAACTTACAAATTAGCATAACTTTCAACTATTTTTGCCAGACTTTTATTTTTTAGCAATATTTTAAATTATTCTTGTCTTTTACATGTATAGCATGGCTTCATCTTAGCATCATTAAAGTCTTTAGGTTGTTGCTGTGCTAGCCTTCAGTTATCACATCTGACTTATGACAAATAATAAAGCTGTGTGTCATACATTTTTGTAAAAAGCTGTCAAAGACACCTAGTTACGTGATGGAACCGATAAAACTAAATTCCAATATTCCGGTGGAGGCTTGAGTGACTTGAATGTTTTTTAGGTGGAGCATTTGGCCCCCAGGTATAAAAAAAACATTATGAATTCAGCCTCTCTTGGATCAAGCTTGACCACAGACAGTTAGAATTACATTGAAGAAAATCATTTCTGATAGTCTTCAAGTATTCGAGTTCAAAGCTGAATGTTTTCTTATTTTTCAAATAGGATAAAAAAAGGAGCAGCAGCTGTGAGTGTACTGCAGTGACAGGGTGGTGAGAGCGAGGAATGCTGCTGCTGTTTGTTTTGTTTAGCTCTTAACTTAATTATAATTGATTCAAAAAAGGATGAATCTTTATGACCAAACAAACAGGTCAGTGAACACTTCAGTCTGTTTAGTGCATCACTTAATTCTGACATCAGTGTATGTTTAACTTGTTCATCTCCCTGTCTTCCTTTTAAAAAATAAAAATAAAGCCAGTGGTTTTGCAGTTTGGCGTGAGTAGCCTTAAACTAAAAACACATTTGAAGGTAAAACTATTAGGACTGAATGAAACTCCCCTCGACTACGGTGGAAAAATAGAGGGAAAAAATTCAAATGTATTTATTTAGTGAAATATTTACAGTGATAGACAGCACATGGTTGAATAATCAGGCTTTTATGTTGTATGTTAGCTATTTCCTCGGCTTCGTCTCAGCTTGTTTGTTATGTTTCCTAGTATGTCTGGCCAATTTTGACGATTTCTTCCTATCCTAAAGCTAATTGTTAACAACCTTTTACCATCTCTGCCAATCTTTTTAGCTGTCTCAAGGATATTTTGATCATTTAATCTATTTTTAATTAAACATTTTAATTTTTGTTTTGTTTGTTTTTGTCCAGTTTCTAGTTTTGCATAACATTATTATCACACAACTTGCAGGACTAATGGGCATTTCTTATGGATGTTTTGATCAAACCGTTTCAGGCCAAAATAAACATTTTTTGTTCATTTTACTCTGAGCTGTAGCTTATTGGTTTTCTTTTTGGTTTTTTTGTATTTGGGTTTTGTTGTCATTTCTTCTTGACTTGTCCAATTATAATCCAAGTTTTATATATATTGTTGATGACGATATACTTTCTTTAATGAAAATGTACACCTTTTAACCACTGAACTACACCTACGGTTGAAGTAGTGTGACGTACAACAGAACCTCATTAGTAACCACAGTAATAATCCTTAGTTAATGTCTCATCATAATTATAATTTAATAAATTAATAACTTGTTCTCCATTTTTTTGGGCAGAGCCTCAGAATAAGGTACTGCCTCTACATCATAAACCATGTTATACCAAAATCATATCTCTTTTTTCAGTAACTTCCAAATCATTAATCGATTCAACAAAGTTTACTTACATCCCACTGTAATAATCCTGTTGACCTCAGGGATTTGGTCATACTACTTTGTGTTAATGCCAGGAGGTGGCGTTATAAAAGCTATACAGTCTGGAATGAAACCCACAACCCCTAGTTTGAGGATAACTCTTCTCACCTCCAACAAAGTTATATTGTTGAAAGTCAAAGAGGACAAAGTGTAAGTAGAAACAAATATGTAATGATATGAATCTTTTGATTATTTTAAAAACAACTTTTTACCATTAAAAACAGTGGAAACCATCATAAAAATAAGGTAGACCATCCTCACCCAGAGCTTTGAGGAGCTCATCAAAGTTCTCGCTGCTTTTCATTTTCCAGGTTCCTGTAAAATTGGGCATTTTCTTGCTGGGGTTTGATCTGTGAGCGTCAGTCTGCTGCTGCTGCTGCTGCCGCCGTCCAGGTCCGGTGTCTCCCCTGCTTTATTCAGACTCTTTGTCTCTGTCCGTCTGTCCCTGCGCTCCCTCCTCTCTCCTCCTCTTCTCTCCTCTTCTTTCTTCTCTCCTCTCCTCCCTGCATGTGTGAAATGATCCCACACAGAAAAAAAAAACAAAGCCTGTTACCACTGCTTCCTCTCCCACTCACATCATCTCACAGTGATTTATTCTCACTGCACGTTGCTTTTATGATGTTTTGATTGGTAGTTCTTGATGTCCTGATGAGCTGGTTGAACTGAGCAGTGTTTATATCACTGAGGCTTCTCTGCTGCATCTCTTAACTGGCAGTATTTTGTTTGTTTATCCTCATACTACACTTTTAAGGAAGGTTGGGTTTTCGGTCATTTTGGTTTCTAAACAGATTTTAGTTTCTTTGTCATTCCTGTTAGAGGTGCTGTGAACCATGTTTGTTATTATATATTATATTTATTAATATTTTAAAATACATTGATTTTCTTTCTGTCTCTGTGTGAAGAATAAAAACACATCAGCACATCATTTTGCTAATAATTCAATCTAATCTTTGAGACATTATTGCAGTGTGAATTTTCTGCACAAAAAAGTAAAAGTAATGGCAACCTTTTCACAGTTTCAGAGCTGTTTGAGGTTAAGGATAAATACGTGATGAAATTACAATGTAATGTAATTTTTTTTATTTTATATGATGGATGCATAAGTACAAAAATCAGAAAAGTAAAAACTGTTTCCTTTGCTTTGCTCATATGATATCTCAATGATTACACAATAGTCTTTTCACATCTCACGTCACACCTCTGAACGCTTTAATGCTCCTCCACACATGCACACACACACACACCATTACACCCCCCTGAGAAATGGGAGGCCCTTCCTTTAACCTCAGCCCAGTCTGATTTGTTCCCTTGCCGACAGAAGCTCATCAGTCTTTTTGACAAAGTGCCTTCCAGACATTACTTGATAATGAATGTATAGAGCAGAGCAGGGAGCACTCTGTCATCCCAGCAGGAAGTGTCAGCTCAGAGAGGCCTCCAGCACCTTCAGCAGGCCTCCTCTTTACTCCGTTCATGAGACCACTGCTTCCTTGGTGTCTGTGTGGCCCCGTGTCCAAAAAGGGGAAAGTGAACAATTAAGGGTGGCTCAAATAAAAAGCATGCCACAACTCCTGTCTACTGTTAGCAAGGTAAGGCATTCTCCTGCCACCAGGGGGTGCTAGGCAGTGGTTCAACATTATTGTCATTAATATATACAGTACAGTCCAAACGTTTTCCTTAAGAACAATGGAACATTAGCGTTTTAAAACAAGTCAGTGCCGTCTCTGCACCTTAACGCACCCTAAACGCATGTCTGGGTCAGCACATAATCATGGTCCAGTGTATTATAGTACAGAGCTCTCCTGTGTTGCGGAACTGTACATCTCAAGGCACGTATGAGCTGTTTCAAACATAAACCGGCAATCTGAAAACTTTATAACCTGCAGTATACATTTCTAATAATGGTAGATCGCGTTCTGTGACAACAAAAGAAGATATTTATTACCACAGTCAGTGTCTTCTGAGGCTCAGCTGAACCCAACTATTCCTGTTTTTTCTTAGGGTTTTAAAGACTCCCCATCCTCTGTTTTTATTATTTCTATTATTATCATTACTTTTTTTATGTATTTAAAGACGTTTTCTGGATATGGATGTGAGTGTAAATGAAACGGGGCTGTGGGATCATTGTTTGCTGCCATCTACTGGCTAACATTTAAAATAGTTGTACAATAATAAATATTACTTAAGCGAGTTAGACAAATATTAGTATTATTGGAAATGCATTTCTATCTATTGCAACATAAAACACATTTATTGTGTTTCTTTCATCAGAAATATCATCAGGATCACAACAGCAGCAGTGGAGGTTATGACCAACAGACTTTTATTTCACTGGGTCGATACTCTCATCTGATTAGTTAACCGTCAGACCACATGACCTATGATGTTACAGTGTCACCCTGGTAAGACGAATGGATGCCCCACAGACATGAGAGCATTGAGAGAACACAATAACTGCTGCTGTCTCAGAATCACATTTTCTCCTTTACACTATTCAGTACGGGAGAAAATATGAGATGAGGGTTTTTAAATGTAAGGTTTGTAATGCATGTTGTTGTAATTATTATTATTATTATCTAAATTGCACCACAGGCTGAGTAAATGAGTAAATCGTTCCTCAATCTGAATTTGAATAAATGCAAATCTTAACAGCCATCAGTAGGGGACAGACTTTTAACTGTTGGTCTGCCCATCACAGGGTCGCAAAGACAGAACCAAACATTTGACACCTATAGTGATTGTAGTGATAATGAAAATAAACCCCCAAAACAGACTGTTTAATCTCATTAAAATGATTTTAATCTCTTTCACAAGATGTGCTTTAAATAAATCAGAAACAAAAATGTAAAGCACCTAAATGGAGTGTTCATGTAGTACAACTAGTGTTATTAACTTGTAAATCAAGGGATTTGCCTGCATTTAAAACAACAAAGTTTCTACCGATGATGCTCTAAACAGTGCTCAGATCATTAAAACATTTTAGATGGAGATTTTAAAATGTTATCACATGAGCCACAGTAGCAGTTACACAGCCGCAAAATTACAATTCATTCAAAACGCCTCCACCCATAACACAGAAAATCAAGAAAAAATAAATTACTTAAAAATATTCTTTTTAGACACAATAACATTGCGATTTACAGTAAATATATATTTACATCATGCTCTACAAAACAAATCTGACATTATTGCACCAATCAGCAACAGTCACAACAGATAAGTCCATGTCCAGTCCAAACGCTGTCCTTCTTTTACCCAGCTGATGACTGCAATTTTGTTGAAGATGGCAGTTTATTAACTGTTGATTAAATATTGTACTTTGATTAAATTAAATATCAGACCTTGTGTCTTCCCAAATAAACTGTGGTTCCCAAATAAGGGGACGTGGCCCCATATGGCAGACACAGAGGTATTGCACGGGATGCAGCTAATGCAGTGAATTTCAATATTTCCTTTATTTGTGCCACAGTGAGAAAAAATGTGTTCAAAACGAGTTTAATTCAGTGGAGTTTTGATACAATCACTGAATGTGCGGGGCTTGACAATATGTCTTTCTGAGAAAGGGGGCACTGGAAAAGATTTTGGGAACCACCTTTTAAATGTCTTAAATTCTAAATTAACGTTAAGCCAAAATTAAAATAAAACTAGACATAAATCATCAGTACAAAAGTAACCACAGTTAACAGTTTTAAATTTAAAATTCAGGTTCACCATATTAAAACTTTTTTTGTGATTTTGCATGTTGGAAAAGTGTAAAAACAAATTCTCAATTTTTCTCAATTACCCTCACTATTTAGGGTTGCATCTGTTTTTTGGCCTAGAAACAACACAGTTTTTTTTTTGTACTTAAATTCACAGTTAAAGGAACAACTCTGTCTCTGCAGTGTTAAATCTGTAACTAAAATCTGCATAAAAATGAACATGAATGGGCCAAACAAAAAACAAAGTTCTTGATGTCTTCTGGGCTGTGATTCGACGTGCTCCATCCTTTGTGTTTTACCAATGTCTGGAGTCCACCAGCTCTGGTCGCAAACTCATTTTTTTTAGCGTCTCGTATCCAACAACCATGACGATGGCGGTGGGTGTGGAGGAAATGATACGAGCTGACAATCCTTTGGTCATTCCCCAGAAGCCCTCCTCTTTAATCAGCTGTCTGAAAGTCTCTATGACTGATGTCCTGCCTTCAACCTAAACCAAAGATTCAATAGATAATTGATTTAAATTGCAATTCACATCATTTTATTGCAAACTGATAAATTGTGATCCTATTCAGAGGAAAAAAAAAAACCAAGTGAACACTGATATGTTGATGTGATCTAATTTTACGTATTTACAAGAGTGATAAAATGAAATTCCAACATGTATGAACTAACATTAAAGTCTACGTTTTCTGCACTCAGACAATTAAGCATTTGAAATTAAACAAAATTGTCAATTAGCACAATACCCACAGCGTTATCACATAAACAGCCAATATAGATGTTACCTGAATCCTGGCTCTGACCACATCCATAGGGTTGGTTACAGTTGAGGCGGTTGCAGCAGCTAGAGGTCCAGCCATAGCTTGTAGAATCAGATGAGGGCAGTTGCTGGGAGCTAGGTTAGACAGTTGCTCTGTAGAGTATAATGGATGTTGTAACACATATGATACACATCTAATCTCAAACACACAGTAACAGTGAGGTCTTCATACAGTCATTAATCAATGTAATGCCTGAGCATGTGAACTGCTCTATCACTACTGTAAAAGTAACTACATTAATAATAGTTACACCTCATATATAGTACCATCCAAGTACAAGGAAAGGACAAGTGTAGTTCATTCTACACACTTGGCTGTATGACTGTACAGTGACAACTAATGGTTTTAGAAAATATAACCAATATTTTCAATGATAGACATATACTTTCCTGATACATACCAGCATAGAAATGATAGAATGGCCACCAGACGGCACTGTTTGGGATGTAGGTGAGTAAAGAAGCAAAGTATCCTCTGTAGAAGCCCCTGAAACCATCAGCAGCAAAGATCTGAGCCATAATGTTTCTAGTTTGCCCAAACATTCTTTCAGTCTTTCCCAGGTCGGTGTTCAGTCTAAAGCGACTGAGGTCCTTCCCCTGTCCCTGCATCATCAGCTGTTGAGACACGACATCTATAGGAACTGTGATGCTCTGTGCCACCAAGGAAGCCGATCCTCCGGCCACTAGCGACTTGGCCGTATTGTTCTCTGTATAATGTGAGACATACTTCCTCACTAGCTCGTAGGTGGTGATGTATGCCTGGCCTGAGATCAGTGTGAAGGAGTTGACCATAAAGCCACGGTACAAACCCTGCAGGCCCTCGGCACGCAGGATCTTACAAAAGGCATCAAGTGTGCCACTGTAGAGGGATCTACCCCTTTGCACCTGCAACCGAGTGCGGATGAGTGTCGCTGGGTAGACAGTGGCACGGATGGTCATCGTCATGAACACACCGAAAGAGTAGAACTTCCTCTTATCGAGGTCCTCCCACTCGATGATCTGGATGTTCCTTTTCTGCTGCATCCTGCCTGCTGTTGGTGACTCCTCATCTGACTGAATACTGTCTGTCAGTGGGAGAACTTAATTTTAGTGACGTTGATGTAGATTTCAAGGTAAAAAACAAAACAATATTTGATATCCAATAACACTGTGCATGGTGTAAGGTTTTTATGTATTGGCCAAGGTCTATGTTGTGAATATAACCTCACAATTATAAATATTTGACATAATATAAATATCAAGGGCATGACCTTAAACTAGCCATTGGAACCAATAACCCTGAAAGAAAATATTTTTATGATAATGAACCTATCCTCTGATGCTGAATTGATAATAATTCGTAATAACAATACAGTATCTTAGCTACCTAAAGAATTATTAAAGAATATGTATATGTATATAAACATTCAGAAGCACTCAGAAACTTAGAGTCACTGATTTGATGTATGTAATTAACAATAGAAATAATTACTAATTATATAAGAGTTAATTGCTTTTTAAAAAACACGTTTTCTCTCACTACTCTGTTTGACCCCAGTGACAACATCGGTCATAATGTACTCAAGATGGCGTAACTTTACGAGTTACAATGCAAGAGATATACAGAGAAGGATTACAATTACATTTGATAAATCTCAATAATTGAAACTGTTACTACGTTTGACGTTCGCTCAACAACCCTGGCTTGACCGCATCTATGCAGCAGTATCGTGGGTTAGCACTGAGTTAGCTCTCATTAAAGACATACGTACCTCCTCTGACAGGTGTTAATTACAGAATCATGTCGTTATTGTGAATCGAGGTTCGAACACTATGGCGTCATTATATATTCATTTTTTTGTTTTTAACGCTGTCCTAAACTCGTTCTAACAGTGTTTTAAAAGAGCTAAGTCTTAGCTAATGAACTGTCAGAATGTCTTCCTGTTCCCTTTCAAACGCCAGGTTCCCAAGCAGCCAATCACCTGCGTGATGCATTCATGGCCAACCCGTAAAAACCCACAGAAAAACACGTCTCTTGACTTAGTTATTATGAATAGAATAGACCTATCTACCTAAAGCATAGACAAGGAGAGTTAATTTATATGATCGTTTATCATGCATGTGATTAACATCTGTATTGTCCATAGGATTATACCAAAAACTGACTTATAATTAAACTACATCACTACTGAAAAACTTAAGGTATGCTCAACCTTATGAAAAACCTTTTACAGTTAGTAGTTTCATATAGGTTGAGCCAAACAAAAGTTGTGTAAACACAAGCCATGGTGCCAAGGTCCGACTGGTGAAGTTATCTCAATGGTGTCCTACTGATAATTCTTATCGGTGCATAGGACTTGCTTGGACCTGATGGCAGTTCTTTGGATATTTGTGTTTCTACCTTTCACTACTCTTTCACGAAAATAATAGATTTTTATAGCCTGAATATTATTATATTTAGGTGAAACGCATGACACAATTTCAAATAGTGAATAAAATCTACAATTCACAAACTTCTAATAAGCATTTCCAAGCGGGATCACAGGCAATGACTACACTGAAGGTTAAAGTCTGTGTGTAATTGTTTTACGTAACTGAATGTGTGTTTCTTCTCGTGGGAAAGTCGAAATGGCGCTGTAATACTATATTCCAATTCTCTTGAACTAGACACAAAGCGAGTTAGGCGATATTTGCTCCTCCAACCACAAGATGGCGAGAACAGCTATAGGTTTTATTGTGTCGTCGTACGGTGTGCATGAGGAAATATCAAACAGAAAGTGTTCCACTGCTCTGCCTTAGCTAACACTGGCTGACTTCTATCATTATTATTAAGGTGACATTTTTTGTGTTTTACTGTTTACCCTTTTTCTTCAATGTCTTAAAAAGGTAGTAGGTTAAACATTTAAGTTGTGTACATACAGGGTCAAACTTTTTATATAGTAGTTTGCTGACAAACGAGCTTGTTGAGATATTGCAGATTCATTCTGTTTAGCATGAGTTAGCTAGCCTTCATATAAACAGGAAGATGATAGAAAAAGTGTCTCCGAACTTTTCCGATACTCGATTTGCAAATTTCAGTGCCGATTGTTTTGATTTGTTCTATAATTAGCTTCAAAATTAAAATGGTGTGCACGTAAAACAAGTATGAGGGAGTTGTTCAAGATGTTGAACAACTCCCTCAGGTCCATTAATTCAGAAGAACTTAACACATGTATACATGTATGAAGTTTATTTCCCTTGATTTTGAATGTGGCGCCTCTAAATAATAATTGCTTTTCGTTTGTCCTATTCTATAGGAGAGCTCAGAGGGGTGAAAATGGTCAGTTTCGTTTTTGATAAATACAAATTAATTTAACATGCTTTGAAAGGCTTTTTTAATCTATCTATTCTTTTTTATCTTTGCAGTCTCGCAGATATGATTCTAGGACAACCATATTTTCTCCTGAAGGCAAGTTTTGTTATTCTTTAAAAAGCATCTATATATATATATATATATATATATATAAACTTTTATGAGAAAATGTTAAATTATGTATGCCATCTCATTGTATTTGAAAATTGTTATACAATGCTATTTTTTCATTTTTAAATCTAAAAATACTTTTCATTAACATTGTGATTAATTGAGGGTTTAGTGGTTAGTGGTTAGCGACAAGGGTAATGTAGACTTTAATGTGAATTCATACATGTTGGAGGATGATGTGAACATATTGAAGAAATTGTTTCTTTTTTAAAATAATAATTTCAATAATAACATTTTGCTTAAATTTCCAGGACGGCTGTATCAGGTGGAGTATGCGATGGAAGCAATTGGACATGCTGGCACATGTTTGGGAATTCTAGCCAATGACGGAGTACTGTTAGCAGCAGAGAGAAGGAATATCCACAAACTACTTGATGAAGTTTTCTTCTCTGAGAAGATCTACAAGCTCAATGAGTGAGTGATCCAGTGTTGTTCCATATTTAAAGTCAGGCCTTAATTTATTTTGAGTAACTGTTTGGTTTAATTTCTGATTTTTTCTTTTTCCAGAGACATGGCCTGTAGTGTTGCAGGGATTACATCAGATGCCAATGTACTGACAAATGAACTGCGGCTCGTTGCTCAGAGGTAATTTTTCTCATGCGCTTTAGAGTGTTGTCACATATACTTTATTTCTTTGTCACCAAATAGAATATAAAAATGAAGACAAAATATAAACCATGAGTGAGATTTAAAAGACTTGTTTTTAGTCTTTGTTTTACCCCTTTATTAAATTCACAATCTACTGCTGACCAGTTTGAGTTTCCCTTCAGATACCTGTTGCAGTACCAGGAGCCAATCCCCTGTGAGCAGCTCGTGACAACACTGTGTGACATCAAACAAGCATACACACAATTTGGAGGTGAGTTTCACATACAGACTATTAGTTTAATTTTTAAATGCATTTGAATTTGTCTTTTGTTCCACTGTGTCACAAATGTATGGTTTCTCTTCAACAGGAAAAAGACCATTTGGTGTTTCTCTACTCTACATGGGATGGGACAAACACTACGGTTTCCAGTTGTACCAAAGTGACCCCAGTGGCAATTATGGAGGCTGGAAGGCAACATGCATTGGCAACAACAGTGCTGTAAGTCGGAAATGGCTTTTTACAATATGAATCTATCATAAGATGTGCCCTACATGAACACCAGTTTTCTCACAGTCAGATGATATTTAAATGACAACAGATAGGAACCCAAAACATCTTAAATGCATGTTATAATTAAACATAAAAATAATAATATTTGCACTAATTTGTAGTGTAGTGGACAGATGGAAAATGCACAAATAAATATCAGTGAAAAAATAACTTTTTGCTGTAGAAGTTTACCTTTATGGCTTTTCATTGATCCAGTCTTCAACCAGAAACTACTCTTTGTGTCAAATATTATTTGTCAATATTATAAAGAATAAATTACAGACATGTTTCTTAATATGAATAGGTTTTATTAATTTCCACTAGTTTATAAATAATGACCACATAATTAAAATGTACTATATGTAATCAAAATGTTTTTCAAAAATAGGAATGTATTCAAAAAATAGGAATATAACTACATGGCACAATCAATAGATTTATTTTTCTTTGTTACTCATGTAACACAGTTTAATAAGGTTTTGTAGTATACCTAAGTATTCATATTTCACACCCCTCACTGTGTGGACTCTTCATCTCCAGGCCGCTGTGTCCATGTTGAAGCAAGACTACAAAGAAGGAGACATGACTCTATCCTCAGCTCTGGCGTTGGCCGTCAAGGTCCTCAATAAAACAATGGATGTCAGCAAGCTCTCTGCAGAAAAAGGTCAGAACTAAAGAGAGTATTTTAGTTTTCTATTCTGTACATAAGGAATCAATATGCTGGAATGACTTTACAATACTTACAACTCATATGAGACATGCTACAGGGTCATAGTCGTCTGTTTTGGATTATATTTAACCTAGGTCAACGTTGTGATATGTGCGTAATGCATAATTCACTGTAATTCAATATCACAACATTATATTGTTTTATTGTCTTCAGTGGAGATCGCTACCTTGACACGAAAAGACGGAAAAACTAAAATCAAGGTTCTTAGACAAAAAGAAGTTGAGGGACTCATCAAGCGACATGAGGCAGAAGAAGCCAAAGCTGAGAAGGACAAAAAGGAGAAGGAGCAGAAGGAAAAAGACAAATAAGAATAATGATATTTGTAGTCCCACCTTGTTACTTTTTTTTTTTTTTTTTTTACATTAAAATGTTGAGAAGTGAAATGTGTTTGTCATCTCATCATAACACCAAACGGACTGTTTGCAATAGTTACTCTCTCTGGTAACCAATTACTATTGCAGTTAATAGTACAGTTACTGTATATTACAACATATACACACTATGACAATTACAATGAAACTCAGTTATTGCCCAACATTGTTAATACACTGATTTTTCTTACTTTTTAGCTCATTTTCATTTTTGGTGTAATTTGCAAACTTCTCCGCACGATGGCGACAAAGCAAACAATCAGTTTAATGACTCGCATACACACCAATAATACTCTGCAGTGTTTTATGCCTTTATCACCAGCAGTGCAAGGTTACTGACATACACCGTTAAATGTAGTAGAATCCCCATTGAAAATGATGTTAGTCTCTGTCGTTTTGTTTGAATTCTTATCTAATCCTTTGATTTTTGTCTTTAAAACAGCCTGCAGTGTTATGGCTGGTGATTAAGATGTCATGTGTCAAAGAGCAGGTGGTGAGTGTGACAGCAGCAGCAGTGTGTATTTCATCAGTAACTGGCACGATGTAGGTGGTCAGGATTGCTGACCAACCAGCTGTTATTGCTCAACAGTATGCATGTACTGTGGACGTGCGTGTGTGTGTGTGTGTAAAATTAGCGTAGTAAGGATCCAACCTTTTTTTAACCATTTACAGTAAGTAGGAGGATTTTTTTATATATGCATTGGTTGATTCTGAGTACCACCACTGATACTACAGGATGGGCATCAGTAAATATGAACTGGAAGACAGTATAGAGGTGGCACAGCTGTTTCAACAAGTTAACATACAGTTCTGGTTAAGTAAAAAAAGTGAGGTGTAACTGCCTCATCTATTGGATTTTCGTCACATAAAAATGTTGATATCTTAACTATAATTCAGTAATATTCCCCCTATTTGTTTTATCAATTATTTAAATCCATCTCATCGTCTGCAGTGATGTTTCATTTGTTTTGTACTTAAGTTCTTTGGTGAGGATCCTCCATGTTCTCTCAGTCTGCGTCAGCAGCTCTAACTCACATTTAAAGGGCAGAAGCAGTGAGGTCATAGTGTTCACATGAGTTTTTACAGTGTGGAGTGGGAGGATCTTGGCATCTGCTCAGACACTTTTCTGAAAAAGTCTGAACAAGACACAGTGAGTTACAATGTTAACTAAAAAGTTTCCTGTTTAAAATCTGAAAAAGAATCTGAAAAGAAAAAAAAATCCTGTTAAGATTTACATTTTAAAACCTCTCTTTTGGTGACAGTGATGCTCTTGAGTCCTGCTTTTAGGGTATAATCCGCACAGTACATGAAGTTGTCGATTTGACTCTAGCACAGACACTCACCACTGTCTGCTGTGATGAAACAGACTGGGAGAGCAGGGCAATCTGCTGCAGTGTAAACACATCCCAGAAAAGCACTGGAATGTTTCTGCAGTGGGAGCTGGAGTACGAGGTCAACCTGAGGCCAAGGCAGGTGGTATACATCAGAATCAAGGCTGACATCTCAGCATTAACTTATCCAAACAAGGGGCAGGCTGTATGTTATCCTGCGACCAAAGGAGGAGGAGATAGGGGAGGATGGAAGGCAGAAGAGGGGAGGACGAGAGTCTGTGTCTAAAATGTGGTTGTCTCTGCCTCAGGCCCTGTGGGGAAGAGAACCAGTTAGAGTGAGCGGACAAACTGGCTGCCATTTCAGAGGCTTTGATCTAAGCCCCATCGCTGAGCCCTTCAGAGTGATAAGCAGTGAGATCAATCTGTCTGAGGTAAGAGGAGAGTCGTGGACAGAATTTCTCTGATCTCGGGTAAAATGGTACCATATTATTAAAAATTGCTCCAAAAATATAAAATAAATTAACAACAATAGTACGATAAGAGCTACCAAACATTAAATAAAATCAGAAATCGCAGACTCTTTGCCAAATATACTTAATGTAAAAAAAATAGTTCTGAGTTAATATTACACACATACACAAATATGACTCAATGTATCATATAAACATCCCAAACTACATACCCTGGATCACAGGACACACACTGATTTGCCCGCATTTGACAAAGGATGCAGGCATTCAGGTCTTAGAAACAAAAGTGGCTCAAATTAGGGCTGGTTTGGAAGCCTGGATGGTCCGGAGAAATATTATACAAATTTAAACCTTCACATCCCTCAAACAGGACAATTACACCCCTGGTATTTTAAGCCATTAACTGCACAGCAGTCTCAAACACACACACACGCACACACACACACGCACACACACATGCACACAGTGTATTAATGGATAAGACTGATAATAACAGAGGCTGTTGGTGTTATTTAAGGTTACAATATCAGTGCCAAGAGTCATAATTAGACACTAATAACGGCACAGAGCGTCACCAACATCCAATAACCTGCAGAAAACACTGTCTATGATCAAAGTGCAGCATTTATAAAAAGAAAAAGACAACATTCTAATTTAAATACACTCATCCATCCAGCTCTTGTTTAAAGCCAACTCACTGGTGTGTGTAATTCTGGCCTCACTGAGAATTAGAGATTAAGTCATCCTCTCATCCATGTGACTCAGTTTTGGGAGCAGTGAATCTTCAACATCACAGACTTCCTGCTCAGAACCAAAACAGTTCACTTCAGCATGAAGGCCGATAGAATAACAGTAAACAATGATTAAACCCTGCTGCAGCAGCAGTGTACTGTATGAAGCTACTGTGTGCAGCACAATGGCAGGTTTTGTGACATTGTATAATGTTGCGTTCTTGTGATCAAAAACCCTGTAGTGTAGGTCAAACCTCTGTTTTTTTATTTTTAATTACCTGGTTCTTAGGCCTGTGAAGACTGAGCTGAACCCAGTGATTACTCCTCAGAGAATAAATGTCAACGTTAATGTGCTTAATATAAACAATCTGAGGTGAACTGAGGGTCATATGTCAAATGTGATATGTAGTAGTATTTCAAAAGTACCTGTGTTTAACGCTTTATCTAGAAAACCTGACAAAAAGGTAAATGATTGCGGAGCAACTCTCATAGTGACAATTTGTCTTTTATATTTTATAACTTTATCTTAATAACTTTTATCAGCAATTAATATGACCTCTGGAACAGCAATTACATTAAATTAAATAAAACAAACTGGCTAAAATACAGCCCCAAATCCCGACAGAGCCTCACCAGAGACAGGAAACTTGAATTGCCAATTCCAATGCAAATTTCCATCCTTTTATTTTTATTATTTGAGGAAATGGTTATTTAGGAAGACTCTCCCATCCAAAGAATATTAAATAGGAACATCAACATAATTACAAAGAAAATCCCAAAGATTTATTTGAAAAAACAAAAACATTGTGCTCAAATTGCTTGATTGATAAAGTCATAAATAATCAATATCCTCCTGATGACATGCACTCACCCTGTAAAAACCCCTGCAGCCAAAACCTCAGTGTAGATGAATAAAGACAACCTGGATCCACAATCTAGGTCCTCGTTGTGCATAAATTTCACCCACATGTATTAAAATTATAGTACAGTGGTCCCTCTCTATATCACGGTTCTGAATTTTGTGGTAATTTTTTTTAATTATAAAAAATGACAAATGTAAAAATGATTAAAAAAACTAAAAAAATAAACAGCAAAATTATAGCAAAAAATAAATTAAAAGACATCGCTGGTAGCTTTGTTTACAAGAGTAGATCGAACACAGCATTGAGCTCTTCTGTTCCACATGCTGATTGGCTCATGCATCTCCCCTTGTCTGTCCGCCACTCGTTCATTTTGCTTTGCACCGTTAAATAGTTGCTGTAAAGCTTGTGCTCTTGTGTTTGGCTCTAATTTAACACCTCTTAAACGCTCTGATCATCTTCTCAGGCTTATGTTACAAAGTCCAAACGAAGAGTCTGATACAGATGACAGTTAACAGCCTTTATTTTTCTTTCTTATACAGTTCGTCCGTCTTGCCCAGTATCTCTCCTCTATTCACTCTCCTCTCTCCCCGGCGCCTTGATTAGATAGGAGGGGGATCACTGGACCATGAATTGTGTGTTCATGACAGTAAATTCAGCGCTGAAGAGAACGTGATTTGTCTCTACTGTTCTGCTGAGAACAGCCTCTCTGCTGCCGTGGTTGGTTAGATTAGATAGAAGCATTCAGCAAGAAACAAATGTGGTTCACATGCTACACGCTCATGGTACCACCATGGTGCGTACAGTATGTGTGAACAGAATGTTCTGGTACACCAGTAAATCAGTTGAAGATCATTAGCAGCAACTATTTGCAACTATTCAGAGCGATTTAATGTGGACAATAATACAACAGCAGTTTTCTGTTATAAAACCTCGGGGCTAATGATAGGCTTGAATTTGACCTCTTCAGAAATCATAAAATAAATCACCAACAATAGCCTTCAATCAACGTTGAAACATTTCCATGTTGTGAAGAACTATGTTGACCAGAACAAAGAGACACTTGGCTGACATCCACTCAGTTACAGAGTGGACTTCAAAGTTATTCTGCTGGTCTAAAAATCATCGAATGGTTCTGGTCCAGAACTGGTCAGTGTGTTCACCCGGGAGGGCGGTGAGACCTGCAGACTCAGGACAGTGGAATCCAGTCCAGTTATCCTGCAGAGAAATGGAACAAGAACAGATCTGAGGTTAGATTCAATTTTTAATTTTTAATTTTTTGGACTTTATTGATCCCACTCTGGAGAAACTCGTGTTAACAGTGTGTGCTGCAACAGGCTATCCCTGGCAAGTGTGTGGTTCCTCTTGAAATCGAACCTAGGACTCTCCGCTGGGCAGAAGCAGGTGTGCTAACCGCTACACTATGGAACCAGGTTAAGAACACTTATTTGTTCTTATTTTATGTGCTAATAATTGGTTCCTTTAAATTGCTGTTGTAATTGTTGTTCAACCTTCAGGTATTGTGGCGTTTTATTTCTTTTCATTTTTTAAATTTATATATTTTACTTTTATTTTTTATTTTAGTTGGTATTGAGACATCCGTTGAATAATTTTAACTTTTAACAGACTTTTAACATCAAATAGATAAAAATAAATAAATAACATTAGTCAAGTGATAAAACGTCCTGGTTCTAGCACTATGGTTATTTTATTACAAATGATTCACATATAATTTCATGAGTAAAGTCATATAATGTCAGCAGGTGTTCCTCTTCTGTCAGGAATGTATTTTTTGAACCAGACATCAATGACCTTGACTGACCCTTATCTGCAGCTGTTCCCAGTTACCATGAATGGGCCTTTTGTTTCCCTCATCAACACCAAAACAACGACCTGGTTTATTAAATCTGTTACCTTATATCCAGCCCATATTCAAGGTAGACTAACATCAGCTGCCAATCTTTGCTGACCAAAAGACGAAGTGAATTCATTTCTTGTCGGATTATTATATGAGGGTTACAGACGTCTGAGAAGTTTGGGCCCGTGTCTACGGCTATTGTCTCAACCGGCACATATTTTACCCCCCACTCTTTAAATTTAAATTCCCCAGAAACTCAGTCTATTTCATTTTTGATAAGCTGTGTGTCCTAGAAACAGCGGGTGGCGTCTAAATTATGCAACCGTCCACGTCCTCTTAGCGGCAGAGCAGAACTGGGCTGAGATGTCAGAGGGAACAAGCCATGACAGGCTGAGTTAGAGACCTGCATTATGAATGAAGTTGGAAAGTATGGCTCAGATGGAGGTGCAGAGTGGTTGAGGTGATGGAGAAGGACAGGACCAAACCAGATCATGGACCATCTGTGGATGGCAAACTTCACTTTACAGCCCAAAAATGTTCCCTCTCACATGGTCTTTAATATAGCCTCACAGCTGTTAACCAATGCTATCAGCTCCATACACCACTGGTGTATGAGTGTGTGAATATCATTCACCTGTTTAACTGAGTCTCCGTATACTCAGTATATACTCAGCATACTGTACTGAGTTAAACTGTGTGCCTTTTTCTTCTCTTAATATTAATATTTGAAATTATAAATAACAGGGATATCAAACGTCTAAAGTGAAACCACAATAATTTTTCCTTTTAAACTGTATTTACATATAAAATTAACAACACCAAATAATTAGATGCTACATGCTAAATTAAACATCCAGTTTATATATAATCAGTTTACAAAACCAGTATTAAATCTTATGAAGTAATGTGAAATTCTTCATAAAAGATAGAAGACAGATACGCTTCTCTTCTGCCTCTTCAATGTTTATTTATGTTTAGTTAATAACAAAAAGTTTAATTTTGTTTATAGAGTTGTGTTTGTGACCCACATGTACAAACAGAAACTGCCCTCTATGTACTGTGGTCAGCAATAGGCGCTAGTTAAGGCCTCCGTACTCTTTCATTGAATTAATTTCCTCTGATTTCCACATGATTGGTTTTGTCAGTAAAATACAGACAGTTGACTTTTTCCGATGGTGAAACTGATATTAAATCCATCTCCCGTTTGAAGATATCAATAAATCTAAAATTGATAAAGAAATTAATATCATCGCATTTTACGAAAATAAAGCCACACTGCATGTAGGCTAACTTCTGTACGAAAGTTCCCATGATCCTCTAGTCCTAATCACCATCATCGCTGTCGGAGTGGGAAATCCCCCCAGAACCCCTGTGCTTCTTAGCTAAGTCTCCTAACCAAGTTAAATATTTGATGAAATTAGTTCTGCTCACTGCATCCCTGCTCTCACTTCTGCTGCCTGCGTTGCTTGATTTTCTCTTCTTTAGATAACGGTTGGTTTGGTTAGTTAATAATGAGTCACCAATTAAAGCTACTGTTTTTGAAACGCAAATCCGCCTTAAGAAAATATTTTTAGCTAAGAGTGCTGGTAATAGGTATTATGAAGTCAAGTTGTCTGTAGTCCTCCAATTAAGATCTTAGCTTAGGATCTCAGCTTGTATTATTGACAAACTTGTTAAGTGTCATAATAAGGAGTAACATGAGATGTTCAACTTCAGGAAACAAAAAAACATCCAACCTGCAGTGAAACATGGAAACACTGAGAATAGTGTTGTTGTTATGATACAGTGCATTGAACTAGTTTCCTGTGTGCAAATGCAGTTTGCTGTTGTTTTGCTGCTCAGTTTGGTGTCAGACTGTGAAGTGCTGATATACAGTACCAAGAGAAGGCTTAGATACCTAAACCCTGAACCCTACAGTAACTGAAGTGGCGGCAGAGCTTTGCCAAAGAATAATTGTCTCAAAGACCTGAGGGTATTTGTTTGAAAGTTCATGTTTTGTACAAGGTTTTTGTAAAGCTAAATGTAAAGGTTAATATTCACATATTTATTTTCTCTTTATTTTAGCACTTGGGAAACAACTTAATTTTGTAATATTTTGACCTCAATAATAATAATAATAATAATAACAACTTTCATTTTAAACCTGTTCAAACTTGCCAAACTGTATAAAACGAAAAGCAGAAACATTTAATTGAATATTTTTAAATAGTATTATTTATTATTTGGATTAAGTCTTTTAATTGCCTTTATTTGGTTTTATTAATTTCTACCACTGTGTTATTATTTATACAGATATATTATTTTGGACCTTTATTAATGCATTGTTTAGATGCTGCTTTAAATTACCTTTATTGTTTTTTTTTATCTGCTTTTGTGACTTGACTTGTTTGGCATTCTTTGTTCATAGCGAAGTGAGAATTTCATTTGACAGGGAAATCAGTTTCTCTTCTCTTGTGCTTAAACAATATACAGGTTGAATCTTAAATGTTATATAACACATACACAGAACCACAACATTGAGTGTTAAGCTGCAATTCCTCTTAAACAACTTCATCCTGTTGATTGTCACAGGGAGAGCTGAGACCAGTCTCTGCTGCCATTGGCAGGATTAGACTCTATAAATCAGATCAACACCATGTAACAGCAACCATTAACCCCAATAAAGTGCACAATGTTATTTCTAGTTATTTCTAGTTCCACCAACTGTACTGTAAGCTGTAAAAAACAGGAACCATTCAGTGCTAATCCCTTTGTCACATGATTTTGATAAATTACAGATGTTCCACTCTCTTAAGTTTATATTCAGGTTTCAGTGCGAGCGAGGGGACGTAAAAGGCTGGTGTTTATTTGGAACCGATTGATTTAGTGTTGTTGAATAGAACTCAACCACATCCTGCCTCTATTAGCTGCTCTGTTATTGTCCATTAGATGTGAGCCATGTCTGGGCTCTGTGTAGCACAGAGGGAACAGGAGAATGTGAGTCCAACATGTGTTTGGACTGGAGATCAGTGATTGATGCTCTGTGAGGGTTCACCTGCCTTCACCACCGAAGGTCTTCCTGGAGGGAAGTCTGCACAGCTGGAAATACAGGTGCCTCACTAAATATTTTACTTCTTATCTGGCAAAGCTCAACAGGGTAAAAAATACATAAAGTTTAATAAAGATGTAAGACAGTGGTGAGACATGCTATGATGTATGGTTTAGAGACAGTGTCTCTGGCTCATGGATAAAAGGCAGAGCTGGAGGTGTCAGAGATGAACATGCTTGGATTCTCACTAAAAGTGAACAGGTTGGACTTGATAAGATGTGAGCAGATTAGAGGAACAGTATAGGTTGAGCAATTTGGTGATGAAGTCGAGGAGGAAAGGTTGAAATGTGTTGTGATAAAAGATGATACATATGATAAAAGGTGTCATAATAGAATGGTAAAATGGAAAAAAGAGTCCTAATTTAGCATGTCGTTTTTTGGCAAAAATGTTTTCAAGATTTTATCTTGTCTGCATAGTTCTCATCAAATTAGAGCATTTTGAGAATTTAGTTTCACAATTGTTCGGCAAAATCATAATTTTATCATGACATTTTTGGTCAGATATTTAAAATTTTTGAAAGCCTATTTTAGTTGTTTTTATTACGTGCTTTTCATCAAATTAAAGCATTTTAAAAAAATGTTTGGATTTTTTTTTAGAATTTGTTTTTTTTATTTTATGGCAAAACCCTATTTTTGCATGTCATCTTAGTCAAAATTCAAGTTTTGAAGAATAAAATTCAAAATTTTATGTTTCCTGCATGTTTCTCATTAAATTGGAGCATTTTGAAAAACATTTTAGAAGTTCTTTTTTTTTTGTTTGTTTTTGACAAAATCCTATTTTCTAATGTTGCATTTTAAGGCATTTCTGGGACTTTTTTTTGTTGCATTTTTTCGTGATAGTAAGGCTATATTAAGGCTATAGTAAACTTAAAGTAAGGATTGTTTTTGGTGATATTTTGAAATATTCATATAAAATATTTTTTGCAGTTTTTAGCACAAATAATTCACTTGGCGACATGTTTTGAAGAATGAACTGGCATTTAAAGGCATTTATGGGACTTTTTTTGCATTTTTTGAGGATAGTAAGGCTTGTGTTTTGTGATATTTTGAAATGTTCTGATAAAATGTTTATTGCAGTTTTTAGGACATAATCTTGCATT